GCATATCCTTAATTAGGTCCATATACCTATTTTGAACCATATTCTTTTTCAAGACCCACCATATTATCTCTCTAGGATCTCTATCATATGCCTTTCTCTAGGTCAACGAACACCATATGAAGAACTTTCTTCTTCTCCCTGAACTTTTCTATCAATTGTCTCAAAAGAAATATTGCTTACATGGTTGATTTCCCTGGCATAAAGCCAAATTGGTTCTTTGGTACACTTGTTTCAAGTTGTAATCTTTGTTCAAGTATTCTCTCCCAAAGTTCCGTAGTGTGGTTTATAAGTTTAATCCCCTAATAGTTATTACAACTTTGTATTATCACCTTTGTTCTTAAACATAGGCACCATACTGTTGTTTCTCCAATCATCAGACATCTTCTTTTCTTTCACAATCTTATTAAGTAGCGTGGTTATTCACCACAAGCCTACCTTTCCATACTTTTATCGGAATACCATCAAATCCTAACGCCTTTCCTTTCATCTTATTTAGTGCCCCTTTTACTTCAGTAAGTCTAACTCTATGAAGGTACATATTATTTTTAACCCTACTAGTATTGCTAGATTCTCTTCCATTAACACATTGTACTTGTCGTTCATTTAATAATTTTTCAAAATAGTTTTTCCATTTGTGTTTGATTACCTTACCTTTTTGCCAAGATTTTTTTATCTTCATTTTTAATGCACCTAACATGGTTTAAATTTCTTCCTTTTCTTCTCTTAGTTTTGCTAGTTTATACATTCATTTTTCTCCTCCTTTAGTGCCTAATTTTTGGTAAAGCTCATCATAAGCCTTACATTTAACTTCACTCACTTTCTTTTTAACTTTTTTTCTTATGGTTTTATATTTTTTCAAGTTTTCTACTTAAGCTTTTTGTGATTCTTTGTAGCATGCTCGTTTTAATCTAATAATATTTTGAACCTCTTCATTCCACCACCATGTTTCTCTAGTACTTTACAACTTCCTCTTATGTTCTTCCAAGACATCCTTTGCTACTTCATTTATATTGTCTACCATATCAAGCCAACTATCATTAATCTTCCCATTTAAATTCTAATTTCCTTCTATTATCAATATATTTCTATATCGAGCTAGCTTTTCTCCTTTTAAGTTTCTCACATAATTCTTGGACACCCAAATTTTTCTCTGTTCCTCTTCAATTTCCTAATGCACACATTTACCATCAGTAGTCTATATTGTGTTGTTAAGCTTTTTCTCAGAGCAACTTTGCAATGCTTACACATCATTCATTCTGTTCTCCTTGCAAGAAAAAAAAAACTATTTGACTTATGTTTGACCCACTTTTAAATGTTATTAAGTGTTCATCATTTTTTTCGAAAAAGGTGCTTACAATTGTCATATCATAAATTACTGCAAAATGTAATATTGTACCTCCTAATTCATTCCTCTCCCCAAACCCAAATCCTACATGCACCATATCATATCTTACTCTTGATTTCCTTACATGCCCATTTAAGTCTCCTCTTAAAAAAATCTTCTCTTCATTTGGAATTTCTTAAACCTCCTAAGTTTTCCAAAAATTGTCTTTTAACATTTTCTTCTAAACCCACTTAAGGTGCATAAGCACTAATTATGTTAATGATTTCCTCACCTAAAACAAGTGTAATTAAAATTATCCTATCCCTAAATCTTTTAACATTAACATTTTCATTTTTTAAATCCTTATCTACTATTATCGCTACACCATTTTTATTATTTACCTCTCCTATATGCCGCAATTTGTATTCATCAATTTTTTTGGCCTTTTTATCCTTCTGTTTAGTTTCTTGTAGGCATGCAATATTAACCCTCTCCTCTTCATAGTGTTTACTAATTCCATAGTTTTTCCTATTAATTTTTTACATCCCAAGTGGCTAAACGAAGTCATGTTTATTGGACTAGTATAGATATGCTAAGTCTTTCTTTCCATTTTTTTATTGCTTCATGGGGTTATACAATAGGGGGTAGCTCATCCCCAATGCCCATAATACCCCCCCCAATATACTTAACTTCCCTTGGAAGTTGGACCAAAACCTGACATAACCCCACCCGGGACCCCTTCACAAAGCAAACAAAGCTCACCCCAAACCTTTTGCAATTGAACTAAACATTCTCTTTCTTTTTCTTGGCATACCTATTCTTCTTAACCATCTTGTTGATTCCAACCCCAAATAACCCCCTTTCAATCTATCAAACACCTTCAAAATTGGCACGGGTCTGCTGAACCTTTGGGATGACCTTGACAGCTCTTCTTTTCTCCATTAAGATCACTAATCCTTTCAAGCTCAAAGAAGCATTCTTCTCAAACACCTACTTCGCAACCAAACCATCTCCCTTCAGTTGCTTAGGCTTTGCTTCACTCTGGAGTCTTATCACTCTTCTCCCACTCTGCCTCTAGATAATCTTCAACGGGGCTTAAAAAGCCCTCGCTGTTCTTCAGGAGCGCACTAGACCTTTCTTCCACTTCCCTAAAGGCTTTCATTGCAAAATCCTCTGTCCAAGAAAAAAATCTTGGTATCTTACTTAACCTCTTTAGTAATAATCTTTTCCAAATCGGCTTTCTTCTCAGCTTCATGGGTCTCATCCAATTTGATCTCTTCATCCTCCTCTTCATTCTCCCTCTCCAAATCATCCTCAAGGGGTTTCATTCTATATTTCCTTCTTCTATGGAATACCTTTGCTCTATTAACCTCCTTCCTTTTGTTTCCTTCCCTCTCCTCATCTTCTTTAACAAAACCATCCTCTTCCTTCTCCTTCCCCGAACAATCCTCATCGTCATTTGCTCCCTTCCTCAAACTGATTTCCTCTTCCCCTTCCACTCCTTCCAACCCATTTGAAACTCCCTCCCTTCCGCTTATAGTAAACAAATTAGAACCTTCCTTGATCTTTCCACCAAACCATTGAATCTGTTTGCCTTCCTTAACTGCTTGTGTTTTGCTGGATCCAACAGTAGTTTCCCCTTTGTTCTCCTCTTCATTGTCTCCCAGAAATTCCTCTTTAGCAACCAGACCCACGGCCTCTCATTGCATTCTTATTAAAGGAGAAGAAGAAAGACTGGAAAGTTCATTTAATATTTCCCCTTTCTCACTGGTCACGTGCTCCCTAAACAGTCCATGAGCCTCCTCCATGTCTAAACTATTATTCCCATTATTCTCATTTGACCCACCATTTTTTCCAGCCCATCAGCTTTGGGCTTCACCATAACAAGCCCAACCAAGTTACATAAATTTCCCCCCATGTGGTCCCTTACCTTATCACCTTCATAAGTTGTATCCCGATCCACAACCCAACTTGACCCATCCACCCAGCCCAACTCCTCTTCTACCGCTCTCTTAGGCTTCTCCACCACTCCTTCATGCATCTCCACCAAGTCTTGAAACTCCTGCACATGCAAACATGCACCAACTCCACCTGTCATCATTTGAAAACAAGTATTTTTTGAAAGCTACCCTTCTCCAAGTCCCAATTCGAAGAGACTTCAGCCTGCACTGTTCCTTTCACATTCTCCAGTCTTTGCTTGGCCGAAAGTAGGTAAGTACCATTAACTCTTAACCCATCGATACCCTGAAAATTATGTAAGCATTCCTTATCAGTCCCTTCGTCTTCCTCCCTGCAAGCTTCCTTCCACAGAAGCTTCAATGGAGGTTGCTAACTGTACAGAGAAGAGAAGATTTTTGGCCATCACTTTCACCTCCTAGGAATGTCATCCAGCTTAACTCCATTGATGAGTAAAGCTGCTGAGTGCAAATCGAAAGTGAAGCCTACTACCAACTTCCCTCCACAAATTGATGCAATGGACATGAACACCTCTTGCTTCCAAAGATGGAAAGGAAGTCCGACCAAACAAACAGTAATGCCATCTTCAAAAGACGGTCTTTGCATTGGACAAAGAAGACCATCTTGAGATCAAAATATTACCCTGATCTGTCTGTAAACTTACTGCATCCAACTCCACTTCTTCAACCAAATCAATAAGAGCTTTTCGTTTTTTAAAAGGTATGAAAATTACCTTTAAGTTTTAAACCTCGACTTACCACCTCTGCAATCTTCTTCCAATCCTGAACCTTCTTCAATTCAGCCACCAGCATCTTATCCCAGTTCTTTCCTTCCTTAATGTCCATCTTGCAATTCCAGTTCCCTCTTGCAAACACTATGGTGTTTTCTTACTCAACCTCCACCAGAAACAAGAAAACCCTGTTTTTCCGTTTTAAATTTCTTGGCTGTAACAAGCATATTCTCTAAATAAACAGTGAAGCCTTCCAAGATGTTGAATAACCCCACCCTTCTCTCATTCTTCCTTCTGGGAAACAAACCAGCAGTTTCCAACCTTTACCAAAAAGTTAAAACAGGGCAATGAAGTTACCTCTGTTATTCCTCCTCTCCGCCTCATACCTCCTTCCTTTGGTCTCCTTGTAACTTTTTTCAATCCAAACATCTATCTTTGTGTATAGCCATATGCAACAAAATTCTTGAACCACACAACAACCTCAGCTCCAATCAGAACCACCCACGATTTCTCCAGTTATAATCTTCAGAGAACTGTTCCTCCAACTCTGACCTCTTTGAATAAGAGATTTTTTTGCTTCAAACTGCAAACGAACCTTAACTACTTAATAAACATAAATTTTCAAAAACACCAATATGACCTTTAGGCTCAGTTTGGAAGGAGTACAAATGCAAATATGTAGAGTGCAAAATCTTGTATTTTATATTATTTGATATATATTTGCACTGTACATATTTGTATTTGTACTCCTTCCAAACTAAGCCTTATATGCAAGATGCATCTTCACCCTCATCAACACCACCCTATAGAACACTTGATAGCTTTCCTTTTCATTTTCTATTTAGTTAGTGGAATCTATTTGATGTCAGCTAGCAATCAAAAATTAGCATTACAGGCAAATGATTGTCTCATAAAATATTGAATCATTTTGGAATATTCTTCTTTCTTCATTAAGTCGATTACACTATTTTCTGTCACTCCCTTCTGCAGAGGTACAACCTGGAGATGAAAATGAGATTCAACCTCAAGATAACGTGAACCAGCATGTTGAAAACGAGAATCAGCCAGAACCTGGTGCAAGGGATGGTATAAACTGGTGGGGGATTGCAAAGGAGATCCAAATGATTGTTGTTGGATTCATCACTTCCCTCCTTCCAGGGTTTCACAACATCGATTAATTCTCTGTATAGATCACCAACTTCATGGAAATACATTTATACTTGATTTTGGACTAATATTCTTTCTACCATTTCAGGTATAATACATAATTATAAAAAAAAAGGTATAATACATGCTAATTATTTCTTTTGTATCCTTTTTCCCTTTTTCGTGCCGGGGGTATTTATTTTTTCAAGGCAAAAACGAGAAACATCACTGTTATAGATGACAGCAACCAAGGCGGTTTAATTCAACTAGGACAACTAGATCAACTAACAATTTGTTGACTTGGTCCACCTAGTCAGCCAAAAAATTACTCTTTAAGTTGAGGTATTTTTCCCTTTGAAAGTTGAATAATTTCTCATCCTAGCCCAATTAGTCTTCTCATCAATATCATAACTTTGTCTTTCCGGCAGTTATCATACTTAAAAACTTGTAACCAATGAACCAGTATCATAAAGGTGTAACTAACCAATCACAGTAATATTTTATTAAAATTCACCGAGGATTGAGTGATGTGGTTTGATTGGTCAAAATTCTTTCAGTATCATGTCTTTCCAACAGTATATAATTGACCTGAACGGTTGGACTACTTGACCCATCATCTGGAGACAAAGTAGGGATGTAACTTGAGTTGGCCCAAATTAGCGTTCTACATTGAATTCAATGGTCAAACCAATGAATTGTTTAAACCGTTCACAAGTCATGGTTTAGACCAATTAAAACCTTCAATTTAAATTTATTATATGCAATATGTTATATTTATATACATGGATTCGACAATGATACCAGAAAAGCTTACAGCTAATCAACTGGAGTGGAGTGCTTTGATTGGTCAAAGCTTTTCCGGTATCATAGATTTTCCCTATATACATATATCAACTATGAAAAATGGAAGTGAAATAACGGAGAAAAAGATGAGACCTGTGAGGCAGAGAATGAAAGGGCAAAGAGAAATTAAAAGAGAATTATTGGTTAGTGAAAGGCAACAGCAATGGCAATGGAGATGGTAGCAGTTCTTAAACAATCTCTCTCTCTCTCTCTTTCTCTCTCTCTGATCTAAGGATTTGGATTTCTCTGGTCTGATTGGTTCAACCCAGATGTTTGAAACTTTGAACTATTTACCCACCATCCAGAAAGAAAACTGGTTGCATCTTTAGTTTGGTTTTCTAAACATTGATTTTCACGTTTTGGAACCTGTTAGGAATCGTGTAAAGGAATTACACCATTCATATAATTATTGATTTTTGTCTCTAAATCTATGAAGGGACTGTGATCTCTTTAAATCTACAAAACGATTTCACCCACAAATCTGCATAATCAAAACTGCTACTTCAAGGTACCAATCTAGGAAATTTCAATGCCAGTTCCAATAAAAGGATCTCAAAGAAATCTAGGCCCCATTTGGTTTGCAGGAATAGGGATCTGGAATCGGAATTGGAATGGGTTATTCCAATTCCAACTGTTTGATTGGGTAGAATTGGAATCTCATTCTCATTCTTGTTGGAATGGCATTTCACATTTGAGGCCTTGGGAATGAAATTTCATTCCTGCTGATTCCAATTTCCATTCCCATTCCTATCTGAACCAGACTATGAGAATAAACCATTCCAATTCAAATTCCGATTCTGACTACCAACCAAACTGACCCCTAATTAATTTCCCATACGTGATATTACTAATCAATTACTAAATCTGTCCTCCCGAATTTTTTTAATGGATGAAAATTTTCTCAGCATTAGGCTGCTCTAATAAATCCTGGGGATTTTTAAAGGAAGCCCAACCGTTCTATTGGTATCAAATGAAAATCATGCTAATACAATGGTTATGGATATAGAAAAGCCATCACGTCACTGATCTTTGCTTGAGAAACTTGGGAGGACATAAGAAGTTGACACAGAGTCTTGACACACCACTCGGGTACAAGCAATATCAAAGCCCACGACTGTACAGCTAGAGAAAAGAAATGGTCGACTATACATCAATGACCCATCTTGACATCTCCATGTTGTCTTGGAAGTTGGGACAATCAATGGAGTGAAAGTTTCATGTAGAAACTTGCCAAACCGCAGAGAGGGAATAGAGTTCGGAGTCCATTGTATGCTCGCAATCTGTTAAATCAGAGACAGGATTTCCCGAAAGCAAAAACCATGCAAACATCCTGAGATCATGGCATCCAGCTGCATATTGTGAGAGTTTGGTTTCAGTCAGTACAAGCTGGTGCTCACACCATTCAAACAGTCTCTTGCAACCTTACATTGGAAATATTTCCCCATGAAAATAAATCACACAAATACAGAGATATTCTTAATGCAAGGCTGTAAATACTGAACAGGCTTTGCACTGACTGAAGCCTATCTCATATTATGAATATCTCCCCATGAATTTAACATACAAGCACAGGAGATATTTCTGACTTGTGGCTGTATGCCATGCTCTCAGGGTGTTAACATGGTTTTTGCTTTCAGAAAATGATTTGCATTCTTAAATTTGTATTTATTCTCATTTGCACCCACTGGCAATACAGATTTTGTATTCCAAAAATTGATGCAAAATTTGCACCTTTCTTCTTACATCAAGTCCCTCTCACATAAAGAGGGACCATATCATCTTGTTTCTTATCTCACTCATACAAATAACCTTCCATACTCTTTCTTACAAGGCTATATAAATGGGCTCCACAAGAGGGGTAGCCCTCCCCCAAAAGGTTGGATCCCCCACAGAAGGCAAACTCGGCCCCAAATCTTGGCCACAACCAGCTAGAGACTTTACCAGCAGTTTGGGTGGCACCTTCTCTCCCTTATAAAGTAGAGACCACATTATTTTACTTCTCACAAAGACAGTCAAATATGAAGCAAAAGTAAACCAGACGTGCATTCAACCTACTGCACTCCATGTATTTACACCAGTGCAAAGCACTACAAACTGAGCCTAACAAATCACTGCCTACCTTAACCTTACAAACAAACACAACAATCACATGTACTGATGATAATTACCACTCAGACTATAGCGGTGTAGGTGGTGCAACTCTTTCCACCTCTGCTGTGCCTTTGGACTTCATGTCGGACCAACATATTTGAAAATCACTTCTATTATGGACCTGCCCTCATGGATCCAAACAAAAATGTAGATGTGATTGAAGAGTAAGAAATATTGTCCTGATGATATTTAGTTGTCTTTGAAAAGTGTTTACTGTTTAGTTGATAGTTGATACATCATACATTCATTCCATTCTGGCCAAATTTCGTATCAGAGACGTTTTCTGAAGAACTTTGAACTCTTGATTTGTCAGAACAAGTAAAACCAGTCCCAACTTATTATAATCGGACTTAACACAGGAGAGGGCCTCATAAAAGAGAAAGGACCCAATAGTTGTTTGTCTCCTCATTGGTGTGTCCTTTGTAAATCTGATGGTAAGTCTGGATATCATTTACTAATTTCCTGTCAGTTTGCTAAAGCCATTTGGGAATGGTTTACATTTTTGTTTGGTACAGATGGACTCCCCCTTTGAATGTGCAAAGCTTATTCACTTCCATGCCCAACTGCCTAACAAAAAAGGCCAAGATCATGTGGAAATGTATTAGGGCTGCAGTATGTTGGACAGTTTGGGAGGAGAGAAATTCATGGATTTTTTTAGATAAAGAGAAAAGCTTGAAATTTGAAAGTAATATTGGAGATTATTCACATTATGATGATACATTGGTTGAAAATTTCAGAACTGTTTGCAGATTTCTCAGTTGATGAGATACTAAAGAATTGGAAGGAAATTGCAGAATCAGCTTCAGCTAAGGAAGCATCAAATCCTTGTTGGACCCCTCCACCTTGCGGACTTATCAAACTAAACTTTGACGGCAGTAGTTTGGGCAATCCAAGGCCCTCCGGAATAGGGGGAGTGAAAGAGATGAGAAAGGGAATCTGTTAGCTATGTATTCTGGTCCAATTGGGGTGGGAGATTCCTTGAGGGCTAAGATACTATGAGCTCTTGAAGGGGTACAAAGAATCAAAGACATGCATATTAATAAATTGATCATAGAAGGTTCTGAAACTGTAGTGAACTGGTTAAAAGAGGACAACTCCAAACTCTAGAACTACAGCAATGAAAAGAGAAAATTTAAGTGACTGACTAAGGACATTGAAATTAGTTGTACATGGATAAAGAGAAGTGCAAACTCATTGACAGATGGTTTAGCTAGGCAAAGGGTGAACAGAAACTCTATTTTTTGGGCTGTTTTGTAATTGATTTACGGTTTGGGTGTACATTGATGTATTAGGGAATTAAGATTTTTTAGCTCCTTAGCTATGTAATTTCTCAAATCTTTAATAAAATTCACTGTTATTGATAAAAGAGAGAGAGAGAGAGAGAGAGAGAGAGAGAGAGAGAGAGATTTGCCTTAAACAAGACCAGTTGATGATGAAATCACACCAGCTGTACCCAAAAGATGAATCTTAAAAGACACTTGACTTTCTAAAATGGAGTCTCCACCCAAGTTAAAAAGAATACCTTCTTCCAAAAATCGAAGAAGACGAAAGCATGATATTATACTCTAAAAACAAGAATCCCTCCCAAATACAAACTCCAACTGCAGTCAAGTGGTAAAAAGAAACAGCAAAGCCGAACCATCAACATAAACAAGAAAGGCAGAAATATTGCATTATGTAAATGCCTAATTTTCATTAAAAGATCCCCACATCCAAAGAGGCCTCCTTTTAATATTCTGGAAACTGAGACATTAATTTGTAACTGGTGGTTTTTTCTCCAAAGAACAACTTATTTGATACATAATGGAGCTCAATAAGACTTCCCACAATGTATCAAGCTTCCAGCTCCCAGGAAAAGACCAAAAATGGCTGCACTGCCAAGTGTGGTTTGGCCAATGTACCTAATCTTCAAAAGACCTGGGACCTGCAATCCAATAATGGACTTAGGACTGACAGTAACATGTATAATATAAGAGTATCATCCTACAATTTACACTATAAGCTAAGCCCCCAAACAAGTTTGAGAGGCTAGTTTGCTTGTTGGGGCTAGACAAATGTACTGTGAATACCAGCGAAGTCCTTTATTTGACCAATGGATAAAATCCAAGGGAAAAACAATAATAAACACTATAGGTTAATCACTGGTAATATCATACACCTTTGTAGGATATAACTGGAAAAATAGAAATTTCAAACACAAAATAAGGATATAATTGTTTTAATGGAACTTTGCAGAGATGTTTAAAAGGATGGTTTATATGGAACAATTTGATTTAAAAGCCTTAAAAGCAGATTTTTCACAAAAGAAATCCCTTATAGAAAAAACAAGTGCCAAAATTCCAGAAAGGTTTCAGATGGAGTTTTGGGAATGAAATTTGGTTGGATAAAGGTCATGAAAATTAGGACTGTCAACAGATTCCAAAAGTCCAAGATCTAAGCCAATTATTTCAGCCCATCAATAAAGAACTAAAATTATTTCAGAATTAGATTATCCATTTGCATAAACAGATTGGATTTAGATTTTAAAGGTTGCATCGTCATCATAGTCCAGATTGGATTTCGATCTGATTATGATCCAAGTCCAATTAACTTTTACAATAACATACATACCATCATCATCATCCAAGCTTTATCCCAACTATATGGGGCTGGCTACATGAATCCTGTTTAGCCATTCTGTTCTGTTTAATGTCATATCCATTGTTAAATTATAGGTGCTTAAGTCATTTCTTACTAGTTACTATTACCCATATGCCTATTTGCATATGTGTGTATGTGTGTGTGTATATATATATATAATGCACATACACATAATATATAATCATATGAAGTTTATAATAATTAAATTCACTAATCTACATTTATATAAATTTATTCCAAAGTCAAAAAAGAGAGATTATTTTTATAGTTTTTTAGTATTTTCTTTGTTTCAACTTTTAAGATAGTGAAACAGACTCATATTAAACTGAATTTTGATGAAACTCCATTGTAACCTGGGCTCATCCAGAACTAGGTGGAGCTTTCAAGGATGAAATGAGTACAATAGTGGCTCTCTTCTCAGGACTGATAGGGGTTCGTGATTCCCTAAAATAGGCCTGTCAAAAAATGAAAAAAAAAAACCACTAGGAAATGAAACAGATAGAGGAGACTGGTTAACCATTTCAAACCTCCCTTCCCTGGGATGTTCTCTTTGGAAGAAAATCATGGAAGTCTATCCTCTTCTTCACAATGGTCTGTCCCCTAAGTTGCGTTCTGGGCACCGTCTGAAATTCTGGAGAGACAAATGGTGCAATAACAGGTCCTTATAAGAGCTGTTCCCCTGCTTTTTCAACTTGCAGAAAATCAAGAAGCAATTGTGGCCCAATGCTGTGAAGTGAATGGAAATAGAATCTCCTGGATTCCTTCTTTCAGAAGACCCTTTCAAGATTGGGAAGTGGAACAAGTGGTGGATCTATTGGGCTTGCTTTCGAACCAGAATTTGAACCTTTTGGAAGAAGATTCTTGGACCTGAGATTGGAATACAAGATGGCATTTTCACTGTGAACTCCTTTGCCAAAGTGTTATCAAGTGGAGAGAGTGGGAATTTCCCTGCTGTTAAAATTTGGAGCCAGATTCCTCATTTCAAAGCGAATGCTCTGCTTTGGGCTGTAGTTTTGGATAGAAACCTAACTAAACAGAATCTGGCCAGGAGAGGAATTCTGATTCAGAACTTGTTATGTGAGTTTTGTGGTCAAGCTGGAGAGGATAATAATCATCTTTTTGTCCACTGCCATATATCGGCAGCATTATGGGATCATTTCCTCTCTTCTGGTCTTTCCTAGGTCATGCCAAAACAGGTGTCGGACCTGTTATGGAGCTGGAATCTGCAAGGTCTCTCTAAGCTGGCAAAAAGTGTGTGGTGGGCTATCCCTGCAGCTGTGATCAGTTCTATCTGGATGGAGAGAAACAGAAGAATCTTTCAAAACAAAGCAAAGGATGTAGACTGTCTCAGCTCCTGTGCTGTGGGAAAATTAGTGTCATGGACTGCAGGTGTGAAAGGCTTCCAGTCTAGGGTACTTGGAACTCAGTAGCCTCAGTTGAGGTCCAGAAGTGTATTTGAATTGTAATGTAAGTTGGGAGATTGTTCTCAGTTTTTTTGCTTCTTTTATGGGGGCTTATTTGTATGCTCTGTTTCAGTTAATAAATTTACCTTACCTTTTCAAAAAATAAAATAAACCTAAAGAAAAATGGATCAAGATCAATTTGTCCCCCAAAGATGTTGAATGAACACCTTTGATGAACTTGTAGATTTTTGATAGCTGTAATGGATGCTTGAGATAGAAAATATAAAAGAGAAACTACTGGAAGGGATGGGAGCATATAATCACCTAGGCATAGAAATCACCTTTTTATAATTAAATGTGAAATGGTTAAAAGCCTTAGGAGGAAAAAAAAACTTTGACTGTCCAGGCTAGACATCAAGGACTAAAACAGCCAAATCTGACAAAACAAACCAGAAAAAGAAAAAAAAAAAAAACAAGAATAAAAAAAAATGTAATTACAAAAGAATCCCAGATCCAGTTATTCCCCAAATACACATTGAATCGAAACCCCAGCTCTGGCCTATCAGCTGAGGCATTAGCCAATCGAGGAATCCACCTGAACAAGCAATTCAGGTTACTCCCAAGATATTTGACTTCCCTAACCATAACCCTGAATCTCCAAGGAATTTCATTGTCAGAATTAAGCCAAGAAATAACAACTCCCTTCAATTATCACATTTCTCCAGCTATGTTGTTTTCCTGAATGTCTCACATACAGACAAATTAATGTTGAAGGGAGTTGTTATTTCGAGACATCAAAAGGAAAGCAAAGAGAAGCTGTGGTATCATCCATATAAACATAGAAGAGTAAATTTGTTTTGGTAACTCTCTAAGTGAGCTGTTAGGAGCTCTGTACGTGCCCAACATGGGCCGTACATCTCCAAAATAACTCTTTCCATGCATTTCAATAAAATGGTATTACTTCTGCCCCAAATTTTAGTTTGCATATTTTGGCTTCATTTCTAAATCATTCCCAGGCAGCATAATCTAGTGCCTACATATGGTATTAGAACCTTCGTTATCAAGTCTTTCTGAGAGTTTGAGTCAAAAAGAGAGACGAAAAGACAATTTTTGCACTACCGCCATAGCCCCAATATCTTTTGTCCCAAAATTCAATCCTTGAAAATCTTCCCAAAAATGGGTGAGTTCCACTAATGGGGTAAGATTCCAAATGGAATTCCCATTAAGTAATAACCAGCAAAAGCCAATGAAGATGTGGGTATGTCTACCATGGGCAATGTCCCAATGAATGAAAGAAAAAAGGGAAACTCCCATCAGTTTTCTCACAAGTGTGATTTTACAAAATATAGCAATGGAATCAAAGGGTGGAGTTTAAGAATCTGTTTGGACGAGTTAACAACAAAGTTAAGGATTCCACCACCGGAATACACGATTGAGGACATTGAAAGGAAATCCATGTGAATATCCATTTACGCCTGAAGGGACAAGTATTAATATTCTCAAGAAATCACACCATCACCAAGAAAGAGACTGAGCAAACTGCAGCAAGAGAGGTGATTCAGAAAATTAAAGAGTTATATGGGGTTCATATCAAAGATGTAAATTTTGTTAGGGTAGGGTTTTTACCATGAAATCCTTCTACTCAGCTCTGTTAAAGGACCAGCAGGTTTCAGATTCTATGCGAGGGATCTGGGTGAATTCCATTCCACCTAGAGTGGAAGCTTTTGCTTGGTTGGTTGCCCTGGATAGTATCCTAACAGTTGACCACTGAAAAGTAAAGGACTGTATTTAGCAAACATCTGCGTTATGTGTGGCTCGGATGAAGAAACTGTCTTACACTTTCTCTCCTTGCAAGACTAAAAACATCATGTGGAAATTCCACTCCTCTTTATTCGGGCAAAGAGTATTTCAGCCAAGCTCAGCAGCAGAATTTTCTCCACTTGGCCAAGAATTGGAGGAAGTAGGAAAGCAAGGATAGTATGGAGCTGCATTCCCTTTGCTGTGTGCTGGACACTGTGGAACAAAAGAAATAAAAGGATTTTTTAAGACAAATCTAAAAATACTGAAACTCTGGTGGCTCTGGTTGGGAAATTAGTTTCAGATTGGGTATGGATGCTACCAGATTTTGATCAAGTCAGCAGATCAGACTTGGGGGAGTATTTCTGGAATGTGCTTGAAATTCAATCGTTGTAACTTGTCTCAGTTTTGTTTTGGCCTGTGCTTTTAGACGAGTTTGTTTTTTTTTTTTGTAAGCTAGGTGCCATCTTATCACCTATTGTCTGCATCTGTTTTTTGATTTAATAAAATTTTGTTTCATTTTACTCTTCAAAAAACATTATTTTTGGGTGACAACTGAAAAAGGAAAAAAAAAAAAAAAACATTGATAAATTAGAATTGGAGAATATGGAACTCAAAGCCCAACTGTCACAGTCCGTTGCTAATGATGACCCAATTCAAGTTGTTGACATCTCCGATGATGAAGGCAGCGTCCAAGGCAAAAATTGAAGATTTTGGATTTTTCAAATTACTAGGGAGGATATTGGGACATAATTTGAAAAATACCATTAGTCTAATAGTTATGATGAGTTAAAACTTCGGTTATGGTGAATTATGTAAAGACTGATTTGCGTCTCTTACACTTTCTTTCCCCTTTTGGCTCTTGGAGCACATTTTTATGTTGTATCATATGTACAATATTATTTTTCTCTTTATTCTTTCTTGTAAGTGAGGGACATAAATGTCCTTTCTCAGCCTTGTACAGAATTCATATATAAGATAATCTTGTGGGACATGTGACTCATTGAACACACCCTTACATTCTAGTTTTTCTCTTGTTCGAACTGTGTTAACATAGTAACAGAGCAGGTCTCTCAAACATGTCTTTGATTGAGATCTATTTATTGGACTTGTAAGGGAGATTGAAGGGCTACTAGATCAACCTACTTGCATCAGTTTGGGAACTCTCTGATAATTGTTTTGGTCAGCACAAGCTTTCCCTCTTTTTTTTCTGGAAAATCACATTCAGCCCTAAAGTTTTTTCTCTTTCTCTTGATCTGCTGCTTCAATCACCTTGAAACTTCAGACCTGAAGTCGCCCAGGTCAGTTTTAATTTAATTGTTTGCATAATTTTTTTTTCTGGATCAGATTGCCTTTGAGGGGTGTTTTTCCCTCTTCTCTGTTTGACAGTCCAGTAAACATACCTTTTTTGGACTGTCATCTGTCTTCAACCTTTGTCTGGCTGATCTATGATTGGGTCATGATCCCCTTTGTGCTGTGTGATCACTTGCATATCTGATATCAAGTTTTTGGTTTATTTGGTGGTGTGGCTGCCTTGTTTTCCTTGGGTTTTCTGGAATCCTTTAGCTGAAATGGCTCTGGAGAAAAGAGATATTCTGCCTGTGAAGTTCAATGTGACTAATTATGCATTCTGGAAGTTCAATTTCCAGAAAGTTAAGGATTGGTGGTTGGAAAGTAATCCTAGTGTGAATTGGGAGGGAATGAGGTTTCATAAGAAATTGCAATACCTTAAAAACATAAAATCAAGGAGTGGAATCTGACGGAATTTGGGATAATAGAAGAAAGGAAGTTATTTGTGATTGAGAAAACTGAGGAGATTGATATGAAGGCAGGACTCTTGAGGAGGGAGATAAAAACAAATGTGGAAGTTGAGGAAACAGCTGGAGGATATTTTGTATAAGGAGGAAGCAAGTTGGAATCAAGATGCAAATGGTTGAAGGAAGGGATAGGAATACAAAGTATTTCCATGGTGTGGGAAATGTAAGGAGGAAGAACCAAAGAATTTCATCTCAAAATTGGAAATGAAGGGTTCAACTGTTACCCAACAAAGTGAGATTGCTAGGGCCTTTGTAACTCATTTTAGATCCATTTATAGAAGACCATTAAATGATCGTGTGTGGGTTGAAGGTTTGGACTGGTCAAGACTAGCTGTGGAGGAAAGGGAGTGGTTAGAAAGGAAGTTTGAACTGGAGGAAATTAGACAGTCACTAGTTGAGTTGCCGTATAGCTTGGTCCACACCCTGGGTCCAACCAAGTGCTGAACCGAATCACCTCAACAAAAGACTTGACCCATACCTCTTGACTTTCCATTTTAAAATTGTTTGAAAACCTTCCTTTTTCATTTACCTTTACTTCCCAGTCAACCGAAGAGGATTATTATTCCCTTTCCCCTTCTATTTTTTCTTTCATTTGCAATTACTGCTTAGCAGTCTGTACTTATAAGAATATTTGATCAGGTATTCATTGTGCCCATTCTACAAATAAAATCTCTCCTCTTCATAAAGAGAAAGCACTCACAATTGAAGACACTCTATGGCAACATGACATCTAGCCTTTTGGATCAGATCAAAACCCTGATAAAAAAGGTGCAGTTTTTCCTTTGGTTGGTAACCTATAGCAATGAGATTTACTCTTTCTCATGGAATTAAAAATAATGGGACTAGATGTTGAATGACAAAGAAAATGGTTGTGTCTGAATCAAGAGATAACCTAGAAAGAGGCAATGGTGATGGTCTGGAATCTATACCAGTGAATCAGTAGTCAATAAAATTGATAGTCAGGAAAGGATGACAAAGATACACAACAGTTGTTTAACATGCATGGAGTCAAAGACATCTGAGCCTAGACCTACATAAGTTTGACTAGTTGGCATGTAACATGTCTAAATGAACAAGGAAGGCCAAAGAAGGGTTTGAGCCAAAGTAAGAATTTTTCAGTTGGGTTCTATCAATTCAGATGCTTTGGGAACAGAGAGAATTTTTCAGTTGGATTCTATATTTCTATGAATTCAAGATCTGTGACATATCTTACAAAAATTTTTACAACCAGGATTCTTCTCTTTGAGAATAACAAAGAAATGGCTGGTTAGACAAGGAACTCATGCTAGTCCCTCCATGACTTCACTTCTGGAACATAATATTTGGCAATATTGCAGCTGGGTTGTAATATAAAGCAAAGATCATCATTGTAAAGTTGGCTATGGCCAACAAAGAACCTTTTTATACTTTGTTCTGTTGGATGTGGGTCCAGCCCATATGGAGGGGCCCACCCCACCTTCATTTACTCCCTAAAGAAAAGGGAGCCGAATAGTGGGTTACCACATTATTCGGTCTTGGTTTTTTGGTGGCGTCAAACTAGTAACCACCGAACAGAGAAGGACGAAGAAGGAGAAAAAAATTACAGAACCAAAAAAGAAAGTTTTTTCTTGGTTCTTTGAGTTTTGTGAAGAAGAGGAAAAAGCTGGCTCTTGTTCCATTCAAGATCAAGTTCGGAGGTGCCTTTCAAGCCCGTTCTTGATGATAATAAGTGCTGGAGTTAAGAATCCCACTCCAGTTCAGATTTGGTGATTCTTCTTCCTTTTCTCTACTTCTCAGTTCAGATTTACAGCAACTTGGTGAGATCTAAACTTATGTTTGTGTTGTATCCACCTTGCATTTGGTGATGTTAATGCTGTTCTTGTGAGCCAAGGATTATTTCCTTGATGTTTGTAAGCCTCTAGTTGCAACTAGAGAAGACTATTGTACCCATTCATTTCTAAATTAGTGGAAGACTTTTACGGACCATAAGTCCCGTGGTTTTTCCCCGATTTTGGGGTTTTCCACGTAAAAACTCCGGTGTGCTGTTGTGTGGTGATTGTTATATGTTTTTCTGTTACTTGACTGAATTGTTTACTTGTTATTATTGTTGTTGGCAAACCCATTTTGACACACAAATTTGGGGGAAAGTTTGTTGCTGTCTTGTGATTGGTTTTACATTCATTTCTGCTACTATAATGTAACTTACCCAACATGTTCATAGTGGTAACCTGGTAGTTCTAAAGAGAGGGATTTTTTAGATATTTACCAATCCCTAAGTTTCTAAAATATACCTCCTCAGAAAGGTAAAAAGTTATATTTGAATATCCCTGAATTCAAGGGGTCTTCAACCACATAATTACCAGGTTTTGTGTGGCATATATTTCTCTTTCTTATTTCTGTGTATTTCATGTACATGCATCGGGAAAAGCATCACCGCAGAAGAATGAGCCAACAGATGAATAACAGAAATGTAGCAAATAGAACCACGGGATTGGCCTTATCTGTCAAAAAGCAATAGCTACCTAGCGACAGTACCTTGTACCGGATGGCTTCATAAGTTCCATAGACAGCACCTGCACAGAAGCAGATAGTTCATGTCTCCAGCGACACAATTCAATTAATATAACTAAATATCACTTAACGCCATTACATGGCAACACGAAACAACACAATTATATAAAATCACACAAATAAGAAATCTGAGTTCACCAATACAGTAAGAAGGGGAAAAAAGAATGCCTATAATAAAGCAAATATAGTACATTCAACACCGCAACTGTCATTCAAAGCTCTGAAGATTTGACAAAGTTACATTATCCTAAAAAAATTAAGGGTTGAATCAGCTTTCGTGCTCGAGATTTTAGCTTTAAATTAGCGGAAAAAATCAAACAGAAACCAAAACGAAAGAAAATCAAGAACTCTGAAACAATACTGAAAGTAGGATTTTAGGGTTCCAGCGGAAGGAGGGAGTGAAGATTACCGACAGCGCCACCAACAGCACCGCCAACGACAACGCCTGTGGTGACCCGACGAAGGCAGCTATCACTCGCCATGCCTCTTGCTTATTCTTCTTCTTCTTCCCCGTTTAACACTCTCCCAGTCTCCCTCACTCTCGCTCTCGCAGCTTTGCCCAAGAAGGGAAGTAGTTCAAGAAGCAGGCGTCTGAATGAACTGAGAACCTTCTTTCTGTTGGTTTTCCTGTGGGACTTTTTCAGGCCGTTGGATGAGAATCTAATGATGATTTAACCGTGAAACGGTTGGACCAAAGTACGGACCAGGAGTATTGGACCGAGGCCCAGGCCCAGTCCTCAAATTTTCAGGCGGCTGTGTTAAAATTGATCGCCCTTAGTCGGCCCACTTCGGCTCCTAATTGTTGTTGCCTTGTGGATTGCTTCTGGTTTACTGCAGTTAGGGCTGTTCATAAGAAGATTCAACCCGACCAAACCGACTAATCCGGACTGACCCAATCCGAGTTGGCTGGGTTTTCTTCAATACTGTTCGGTTTCGGGTTGTAAAAAATTATAAACCAATGGTTCGGATCGGTTTCGGTTTTCTGAAAACCGAAACCGATCCGAGCCAAACCGACTTAGTAGTTAGTATTTAGTTCTTAGTTAGTAGTTACAACCTACTTAGTTCCTACTTAACTAAGTTGCCTCTATCCTAATTACAACCTAACTTAGTTTCTAGTCTTCTAGTTAGGAATGATATTAATGGCAAGTATTGTAAGACAATTAGATAGAATTTTTTTGGAAAAGTTTAAAGAAATGAATCAAAGGATCCTAGTTTCTATGGTCTTTTACACCAAATAGGCAACCAATTACAATTATAATTAGGTGTCATTTTTTACTTAGATTAGAAGGTTTCTTGAAATATACAAATTTCAATCTTCTTTCTCTAATACAGTTTGACTTACTATTTTCTTGATAACTTCTATTCTAACTTGGTCCGCCCCTTTAGCCCCTCAACTCAAGCACAATCTCTAATACAATTTGACTTTCAAGCATGGTTGAACTTAGAGCCGAAACCGACCCAACCCGACTCAAACCGACCAGGTCGATTTTGCTTAACACAGGGTCGGTTTCGGTTTCAATTTTAGGTAACCCAACCAAGTCGGGTCGGTTGGAAAAATCTCAGTAAACCAACCCAACCCGACTAGTGAACAGCCCTAACTGCAGTCGGGGGTTCAAACCAAGCTCTTGCACATGATTTTCAGGTTCTGGGCAGGATATGGACCTGAAATTTCAAGATTGAGCTGGGTAGACCGAACCCAGTAAAGCCCAATCAAAACCTACCTGAAGTTCTACAATATATTTAATTAATGTAAACTGTGTATTTTTGTTATATATATATATATATATATATAAGTTGAAGGGGCTAAAAGGTAGGGGTGTTCATTATACGGTTCAAACCATAAAATCGAACTGAATCAAATCGAATTTGCAATTTGGTTCGGTTTACACCTAAAAACGGTTTGGTTTGGTTTAATAGTTTTCTAAATTACAGTTTATGGTTTCAGTTTGGTTTATTGAATTTCATAAACCAAACCAAATTGTAAACCGTAAACCAAAATTATATAAACCAAACCGTAAACCAATATGAATATATGATGTATAAATATTATATGTAATATAATATATCTAAATTGAATGCATAAAATTGTAAATGTATAATACACTCTTTATTTTATAATAAAATAAAAGTTTTAAGTTTTAATTTTTAGGGAAGCTGATGCTGCGCAATCCAGGCACTCCTAGCTGGTTGCTGACTGGCTCCTACCTGGCAACGGACGACACCTAAGAAGAAGACGGTGAAGAATTCCCGGGGGACTTGCCTGGTGGGAAAACTCCGATGCTTAAGTTAGAACGCTGGAGAAAATAGTAAAGAGTGTAAAGAGGCTAAGAGTGTAGGTCGCGCTAGATCACTAAGTGCTCCAGATCAGCTCGAGAGCAAGCTTGAGTAAGGTAAGATGATTCAAGATCCCAAATCAGATCAGATCCCCTCCCCTTCGACTAAGGGGCTCTTATACAGGCATTCTTGTCAAATCGAGTGTAACCGCCACTGGGCTTCTATCGCAGCCGTTATCTGCCAGGGCTGCGCAGGTAACCATTGCAGGGTACTACCCATCTATCGAGAGACGTGGGTGCGGTTTGTTGAATTGGCAGGGACTGCGCCGTCAACCAGGAGACGTGGCGCAGTCTAATGGGTATGGTGTTGTCAGATAGAAGCTTCCTGAAAGCATTGCATCGCTTAGTCGTGAGCTACCTTGTAGCGAGCTATCCTGTCGCGTAGCGAGCTACCCTGTCGCGATCTACTTTATAGCGAGCTCCTAGGGGTACTTCGAGGTGACCTCTCTCAAGGTTGCCTTTGGGGCAGTTTTTCTACCTAAGTGTTGAAGCGAGCTGATTACCCTAGCTCGCTAGCTGTGATAGACTTGGAGTATTCCCTTTCAGTAGATCAGAGGTTCTCGAGCTCGCGTTGTAGTGAGCTCCCCCTATAGCGAGCTATGACGTAATGAGCTATCCTGCGAGCTCGCTACTTAGCCACGGTCAGGCTATGGTGCTGAGTTGTTGTTCGTGTTGAGTCATGTCCGTGTGTCATCGTCTCAAGGGGTCAGGTCAAATCACCCTCCATCAGAAGTTATTTGGGCTTTCTAATTGTATTAAGCCCAATAGAATCATAGAATGGTTCAAGTCTCCAAACTGTATTAGAAATCGCACCAAACCGTAATAAAACGGTTTGGTTTGGATTGATTTCCATACCAAAATGGTTTGGTTTGGTTTGGAAATTTCTCAAATCGTAATGTACCGGTTTGGTCTAAGATCTTCTCCAAACCGCACCAAACCAGACCGTGAACACCCCTACTAAACGAGCTTCGATAGAAGCAGTAAGAAATTATTTAAGCATCAATAATTTAACAATGATATGACATCAAACAAGACTGGTGATACTTTTTTTTGGCCAAAAGAAACCTCAAGATATATCATTCATTTGATATAGCAAAAGGGCACCTAGAGTTGCTGCTATACATACATACTATTTTGTCATATTTACAGGCAGAAAAATCTAGATCATGAGCAGCCTCATTAAATGATCTGCTAAGGTTTGAATTCATATAACCAACCCAATATAGTTGGGATAAGGTTTGGATGATGATGATGATAATATTTATATTATATTTGCACCCTTATATACACAATGTGATCCTTTTCTTTTTGAAATAAAGCAGAAGAGCACTACACACAATGGAGAGTAGTGCATCTCCAAAAGTCAGCAAAGCAAATAAGAAGGGAAGGAGGAAGAGACAAAGAATTTAAATCTAAAAAAGTCGAAGAAGAAGAAGAAGAAGAAGAAAATTGAGCTTCATGGCCAAGCCAATCAATTGCCTGGGTTGCCTATTGGAACACATGTTGGGTGTTAGCCCTCTCTTGAAACAAATCTCACATCCGAATGCAGCTTCAAATCACGTTCTTCGACTTCCATGGAGTCCTCATCTTGTGCTCGAGACATGATATGACCAACTTCAGTCGCCCTCAATGATAATTGGATAATTTCTAAACTTTAAAGCCATAATATGGGCTTCCCAAGCAGCCCAAGCTTCCGCTTAGCTAATAGTGCATAAGCCAAGCTTATAAGCTTTAGTGTAAAGAACTCAACCCAGATGATCACGATATATGCTTGCAACCGAACACTTCTTGTCACTATTGCAAGATGCATCGAAATTGATTTTAATGATGCCAAACTTTGGATATTTCCACATGATAGGTTTCCAAGTCTTCTCATTTAGCTCCACCATTAGGTCCTTTGACCCTTCAAAATACTCTAAGAACATACTAAGCACTCTTTCCAAAAGGATCAATTGGGGGACTGTTACATTATTGAAAGTCTTGAGGTTCCTATTCCTCCAAATAGCCTACAAAATAAAAGGCAATTTTTCTCTCACTAAAAGCTGATTATTTTCCCTTCTATTTCCTAACCTTGTCCACCAATCAAAAAGAGATTGTGGGTTTTTAATGAAACAGAGGTGGGATCAGATCATGGTCCAATTATCCTTCACTGTTACAAAGATATTTGGAGCGGATTTCGCCCTTTTCACTTTGAGGGGATGGGCTTCTCACCCGGAGTGCGAAGAAGTCATAAATGAGGCTTGGACATTCCCGAATAGGCAGTCTTCTCTAGGGTTGAGGCTGAGTAGATATGTAGGCAAGCCTTAAAGACTTGGAATAAACACTCTTTTGGCCATATTCAGCACCACATTAATTTAGTGAAACACCAACTGGAGATGGTGCAACGTGAGGCAGTGAATAACTCCAACATTCAACAAGTTGCCTACCTTCAAAATCAGTTAGATATTGAGCTACAGAGAGAAGAGTTGATGTGGAAACATAAGTCAAGGATATTGTGGCTTCATTGCATTAAAGATAGAGATGGGCATCTAGTTACTTCTGAAGCTGAAATTGAGGAGGTAATTTTAAATTATTTTAATGATCTATTTACTTCCTCAAATCCAAATTCTCTTTGTGCCCCCTAAGTGCAAATGGGATTCGAAGAGCAGCTTTCTCTATAGGAGCTTTTAAGGCTCCAGATTCGGATGGCTTCTCAGCTATCTTTTTCCAAAAATTCTGGAGCATCGTTTGTCCTAATCTAATTATATCCTTGCAGGATTGGTTCAAAAGAGGAATAGTCCTGGACAACTATAACTTCACGAGCATGTTTCATCCCCAAATGTCGTTACGCCCAAGAGATGAGTCATTTTAGGCCAATAAGTTTGACAAACGTGACATACAGAATTTTTCCTAAATGTCTGGTGCACCGGCTTCAACAAGTCCTACCTCTTTTAGTTGATGATTCCCAATGTGCCTTCGTGAAGAACAGAATGATTATTGATAATGTAGGAATAGCTCATGAGGCTTTTCATTTCCTTAAGAACCATAAGTCGGGTAAGACCTTTTACATGGCCGTTAAATTCGAATCTTAACAAGGCTTATGATCAATTGGAATGGCCCTATATTATTAAAGTCCTAGATAAATTGGGTTTCAATTCACATTGGCAGGGCCTAATCCAAAGTTGTATAAGCTCGGTGGAGTTTGCCTTCAAGATAAACGGCACACAAAGAGGAAAGGTGAAGCCATCTCGGGGAATCAGACAAGGGGATCCCCTGTCCCCCTATATTTTCATTTTAGTAGTTCAAGCTCTTTCTCTTCAAATCCAAGACTCAATTCAGAATGAAAGGTGATGAGGGCTGATTTGGCCCTCCAATGATATTGTGACACATGGCACCTCGGAACAAGTAGGTGACACCCGAAACCACTTAGGCAACAACTTACCTTAGCCAAGTTGACGATGTTTCACCTAGCGGCCTGGTCCAGGCGCAAACTGGCGGCCTGGCACAGGCGTCAACCTAGTAGCCTGGCACAGACGCCAAACTGGGGGCCTGGCACAAGCGCCAAACCGGCAGCCTGACGCAGACGCCGAACTGGCGGCCTGGCACAGGCGCCGACCTAGCGGCCTGCAAGACGTGCTCGCCGACGAATTCGGCATGCATATCCTAACACTCCCACGATCCTTAGAAGTTGGCTCACGTGTCGAACGATCTGGAGGGTGGTCAACGTGCATGGCGGTTACCTCCGGGAATCTTGGACCACTTAGACGACCTCATGGAAATCTCGGATGCAGTGCGTGAAGCCCACGCCAAACAATGCCTATATAAAGGCACCAACCCCAATGGCATAGGGGGGGCAAGTAAGCATATTCTAGCTCTCATACTTTGTGATTTTTAGCTCGCAGTCTACATAAGAGTACTGACTTAAGCGTCGAAGCGACCTCGCCGGGTTAGCCACCCCGGGTCCTCTGACATTGGTTCCTCGTAGGTCTCTAAAAAACTACGAAGCTCAAAATTCAATCCAGCTCGCCACCAGCCAGCTCGGCACTCTGGTCAGCTCATCACCTAACCTACCTAACTCGGCCCAGCCAGCTCGTCACCTAACCTGCCTAGCTCGGCCCAGTCAGTTCGGCACCTAACCTGCCCAACTCGGCCCAGTTAACTCGGCACCTAATCTGCCCCCAGCTCGGCCTGATCAGCTTGGCATCCAGGTCCTCATCTAGCAAAAGTTCACTTCGGCCTCTGAATCATTGGCCACTTAGAAGCAAACCAAGTGACGAGGTACTTAGCACAAAAAATTAATACTTTACCAAAAAATTGATTCATCAGAAGGTTACATCTGTTGAGGTTCAAGAGATCAGGCGTGAGTATCTCACATCTATTCTATGCTGATGATTGTCTCTTGTTCCTGAATGCTGACATTCAGAATGCTCTTCAAATTAAAAAATAAAAAATTACAGGAATACTCTGAAGTCTTAGGGCAACTTATTAACTTGAATAAGTTGGATGTGAGTTTCAGCAGAAATACCCCTACTAAATTCAAGAGAATCATCACAAGAATCCCGGGTATTAAGGAGAGCAAGGGCCAACCAAGATATCTAGGCCTTCCGAGTTCTATTGGGGCAAATAAATCAAAGATGTTTGCTGATATGGTGAGCAGAACTCAGTCTAAAGTGCAAGGTTGGAAAGGATGTACCCTTACGCAAGCTGGTAAAGATGTCTTAGTCAAAGCTATTGCTACCCCATCTTCCATCCATTATATGAGCCACTTTAGGATTCCTGAAAGTATTTACAGGAAACTTAATGGGCTTATGTCAATTTTTATTTGGGGGCAGAGGAGTAATGAAAATAGAATTAAATGGGTGGGTTGGAAAAGAATGTGTAATAGCAAGATGCAGGGTGGTTTGGGCTTTAGAGATCTCAAGTGCTTCAATTTAGCTCTTTTAGCGAAGGCAACTTGGAGAATTATTCAAAATCCTAATACCCTTTATGGAGTAGGACACTCAAGCAAATTTATTTCCCGCATTCAAGGTTTCTTGAGGCGTCTCTGGGGTCGAAGCCGTCTTGGGCTTTGAGAAGTCTTTTAGATGGCAGAGCTTTGCTTTGTAAGGGGCTAATTTGGCGGATTGGTAACGGGCTAACGGCAAGGAAATTGACATTTGGAATGATGTGTGGATCCCAAATTTTCTGGAAGGTAGAGTGATATCTGGGAGACCTGCTGACTGTAATTTTAACAAATTTTGTGACCTAATTCTATTAAACCCATAGAGGTGGAACACTACAATCCTACGTCATCTCTTCTCTCCTGAGGAAGTTGTTGCTATAAAGAAGATTTCTCTTGGTTTGCATGAGTCTGAGGATAGATTGATTTGGAAATTCTGTAAGGATGGGGAATACTCTTATCAAAAGTGGGTATTTTGTCCCAAAATTATCTTCTCAAATGCCCTCTCATACTAAATCCTCTGCTAGGAACAACTAGTATCCTCAGATGCCAGTTTCAGCTTCAAAGAAGGTTTGGAACTCTAAATCCCCCCCCCCAAAAAAAAAAAAAAAAAAAAAAATTTAAAGTTTTATGTGGCAAGCTATCTCTAATGCTCTAGCAGTCCACCAATTATTTGCTAAGAAAGGGCTTAGGATCTCGGCTATGTGTCCTCGATGTGGAGAGGAGGGGGAAGCAGTAGTTCATGTTCTCCTTAAATGTAATTTTGTGAGGGCTATCTGGTTTGCTAACAACCTAGCAATGCGTACGGAGGGGATAGACCATGACTCAATTGCAAACTGGTTTTTTAAGCTTCTGGCCCAACAACATGGAATGCCAAATGGCCATGACTGGATCTAGGCATTCTCGATTTTCTGCTGGGAGATTTGGAAGGCTCGTAATGGGTTGATTTTCAATGGAACAATCACCACCTCGAGTCAGGTAGTTTTGAAAAGTTGGAGCTTCATTTCAAAGCTACAATCAATTGCCCATAGCTGGCCAATTCTTACAGTTTTAGCTCCAATTACTGAACAACAACAAAATTGGACCCCTCCCCCCTGGGATGGATAAAGGTAAACGTGGACACGAATTTTTCACCTCATAGCAGCTACTCTGATATTGCCTGTATAATAAGAGATTTAGAGGGTTACATTCTAATTGGAAGAATTTCCAAATGCTTATATGCCTCAGTGAAGATGGCGGAAGCTATGGCTTTATGGTTGGGTTGCATGGAAGCTTTAGTATTCGGTCGAGTGAAGATGATTTTTGCATCAGACTTGCTGGAGGTGGTGAATGATATCCGGGCTGCTATCAATCCAACTGCTTTGGCTTGCTTTTCTCCCTTAAATGCTTTTTGGCAGGATATAAAAATTTTTGTAGCCTCTTTTGAAACTGTTTGTTTTCAACATGTTCCAAGATCATGTAATTCCTTGGCGGACCTTCTGGCCAAGTGCGCTTTGCAAGAGTTGGGTTTGACTCCTCCCCTGTTTTCCTCTTTAATGGAATGAATAAAATCTCTCTTTGATTACCAAAAAAAAATACAAAAGAATTGCGTATCATGAATTTTCAGACAGCGATATTCTTTAACTTTTTTTTTATTTTCAGTATTTCACCAATAAATACATTAAGACCCTTCTAATGATTAAAATTACAAAAAAAAAAACAGTAAATCATAGTATTTGGCATTTCAGTGGCCTTGAAAACTGATATGCCTTATTTTTCCAGACTATAGATAGATAGATAAATAGATAGATAGATCTATACATCTCTTAAAATTGTCTTTCTAATACTCTTTACATTTTCAATTGTTTGAACGTTACTTTCAATATTGCCTTGTTTTAGTATATAACCACAACTTTAAATCGAAAGTCAAAAGTCAACAACGCCTTACCGCATGGTAAGGGATGCATCCAAGCATGAAAGTGTAGCCCAATGGTAATACGTATATTACAAAGAAAATCTGAGATATATACAAAATGCAAAGATGTGTATCATTCTAATATAAAATAAAATGGCCAGCTTCAATTCTAAAATATTTTTCATACTTTCGTACTTTTTTTTTGATAAATACTATTTCCTACTTTTCCTTTCAGGGTATGAGCATATCGTCCTTACTGGTCTAATTTATTGTTCACACCTTACTGGTATACTCTTCTGGTTTACTATTCACGCCAGTAACATTTAATTTTGTTACTTGGGCAATGTTTGGAAGGAGTACAAATACAAATATGTACAATATAAATACATACAAAATACAAGATTTTGCACTCAACATATTTGCAGTTGTACTCCTTCCAAACTGAGCTTTAAAATAAAATAAGGGAAGTTTAGAAAATGCCATTTTATTACTTAAACAAGGGTATTGATGTAATATCATTGTTAAATTATTATAATAAGGGGGATGATATAAATAGAAGTTGCCGACTTGCTGCTAACTTCCATAAAATTGATGGGGATGAGATTAAAGCTATGTTTGGTTTGAAAAAAAAAGGTAGGGAAAGGAAAGGAAAGACAGGGAAACCAATACAAGATTTGTAAAGGTCTCCCTACCTTTCCTTTCCTTACATTTTCCTTCAAACCAAACATAGCCTAAATGATTAATATAGTTTGATGAAAAGAATAATTTGACATTGGGTTGGTCATAAAACATAATACCATGGGCTGCATTCAATCATTGATTAAGTAGAAGTTCATTTGCATTTTCATTTTGCAAGCCATACTATTCATTTCAATATGGTGAGGCAAAAACTTACAACAAAAGAAATTACAACAAAAGTATTGAACTATACTGGGAAGCAAGCGACTTCCCCAGTTGGCATCACTAAAGAAGTGAGCTGCCTGATCTAACTCCTTCCTCTTCTACCTGCATTAACCATATAATTAAAGATAATAATCTGAAGTCAGGGCATTGATTTATAGCTATAGGTGCAGAACGCGCAAAAGTAGAAGGGATGGAATTAACATTTAATATGAGAAGGCAGCCCACATTATCTGGCTGCAGTAATGCAACACTTTAAAAAACCAGAAATTTGGATGGGGCCATTTCCACTCCAGATCAGCGGTTTGATGGCCATTGACACCAAAAAGTCCAACTGTCAAGACTGCTATACCCATTTTGGACCTTCAGTGTGAGCGGGCGTGTTTGACGGTTTGTGTGTGTGTACATGAGAGAGAGAGAGAGAACTGAAGGATGGATGGATGGATATAGGGAGACACCACAAAAGGGAAAGGGCAGGATACTTGGTTGAGCTTGAAGAGATACAAACATTAGAGTGATGTATGGATGTGTGTGTGAATAGGAAGTTGAGACAGGTGAACTAACCTTTGACGTGACCAGATTTTCTTCTGGTCAGAGCGTCATCCTTTTCATCTTTCACAAGAATCCCAGCACTTTTTTTGGCCTTTGAGATACCTACAAGCAGTTAACACCCTACTCAGATAATAATGTCAATATTGATCTTATACCAGTAGCTAGAGAGCTTGGACTACCTCTTTTTCGAGAAAACTTTGGTGATTGAACCTCCCCACCACCTGGTTCCGATTCTATAACTTCACTAGAGACACCCGAGTTTCCTTCCAATTCCATGGATTTTGTTGCTGCTTCATTGGAAGTTTGAGTTGATCCCTCCTCAATAAGAGGGTCTATTATCTCACTAGGTCCTCCATCTGCAAGCAAAAGCAAAATCAACTTAGACACGAATTTAGCAGAACAGGCTGACAAGTAGCAAATGACCATTATAAAGAATCATGTTGTGGTTATCAAATTCAGGAAGCTTCAGAAATTGACTTACTAGATTACAAAGGACAAACCATTTAAAAAAAAAACACTAAATAATGAATAGATGTCCTAGGGATCATCTTGTTGACTAACTATGCTATGCCTACCATCATCAGCAGCTTCTGTAGCACCATTGGTCGCCATTAAACCTTCCAAGTTACCCACTCTCTGCTGGTGAACTTGGGCATTTCTAGCAATTATCTCTTGCTCCTTCTTTTCCAGGTGGAATTTATTTAGCTTGTCCTCGAACTCCTCAATGCAGGATTTCAGCTCTGGCTTGGCAAATTTCTTACCCTGATTTTAGTTGATATACATAAAAAAAATGTTAGTAGATAGACCAAATGGAATGACGCATGCACCAAAAATAACTTCAATACCTTGGCAATAATATTTTTGAAGTGCTCCATCACAGAATCTTCAGATAGAATATGTTCATAGGTTTTGAATGACTCCATTAACTTTTTCACTCCTTTTTCAGTGAATGTCAATTGCGAAAGGCAATAAGAAATATCTTCCCACTGTTTGACATCTGCAAGAGAAGTACCCAAAGTAACAAAACAACTTCCCCAATCATTGACAACTAAGAACAGAAGTTTGTGAAATGGATCCTGTGTCATAACCAAATTTAGTATTCATTTGTTGGTAAAGCCCTACATCAGAAGAAAGTGCTGTTTTTCAAACTATCAGAAAAAAGAAACATGAGAGAGAGAGAGAGAGAGAGAGAGAGAGAGAACAGCTTTCTACTTCCCTGGCAGCCATAAAATATAATATTCCCTCTTAAATGTTGTAAAAGCCAGGGAAACCCTAGGTGAAAAACATATCCTAGTGCCAAGGCAGAATGCAAAAGTCCATTATGGAATAACATATAATATTCCCACTTAAATGTTGTAAAAGCCAGGGAAACCCTAGGTGAAAAACATATCCTAGTGCCAAAGCAGAATGCAAAAGCCCATTATGGAATAACATTTAAAAGTTACATAATAAGATGGCACAAGAGAAGGCCACAATGGTCCTTTCTCACATTTTATACCAGTAATATATAACTCTCTTTTGGGCATGTGACAACATGACACACCCTATCCATACTCTGTTCTCTTGTTCTATTCGAACTGGTATCTTGGTATCAGAGCAGGTTTCTCAAACCTGTCTTTGACTGAAGACTGAAATTGGATATTCGTAAGGATATTCAAGGACTCTCACATACTTTTTTCTGAAAATTTGCCTTTCAGGTCTGATTTATTCTCTTTAACTCTTGATTGATCAATCCAATCAGGTTGGGCTTTGGATTCTATGCCACCCTAGCACACTCTCCCTGTTTATCAAGTCAATTTTTCGATCCATTCAATTTTCTGAGGATTTTGATCCCTTTCTTCAAGTCAGCAAACCTGCAACCTCCCTTTTCTAGCCTAGTGCTCCTTATATCTAGTTATTAGAAGTTCTTTGGAAGAAATGCATCTTATTGAGTAGCAGTTTACTAAAACCCTGGCTGTTTACTCGTTGATCTGATTTCTATTAATGCCTTGCTGAAATGAATTTGGAACTATGTTGATGGCTCAAAAAAAAACAATGAATCTAATTCTAAGAATTTGAAGCAATGGAAGGTTGATGATGTAGGACCAGCTCAGTTCTAGTCCTTAGAGTGTTGAATGGTCTTCTTGATCAGAATTTTATGGCTGCTGATGGCTGTAACGGCTTCTTGGGAATAACCGAATAAGAAAGAAAATAGGGAGAGAAAGAAGAGAGAAAATACCTGGAATCACTCACAGGGTGCCTAGAATCACTCACCATAGTTAGCATAAGCAGAAAAAAAACTCAATATATTTCTTTGCCTTTGTGTAAAACATTCATGCATATTTATAGACTTTAAACTCATAATAATCCGAGGAGTCAAACTGTTAGACTTAATAACCCTAGTAGGACTCAAACAAAGTTTTCATATCCTATTTCAATTCAAAGAAGACTCAACAACTCTAATCCTACTTATGCAATAACTCTGAAATTTTAAACATAACAAACTATAATAGACAATCAAACCCTATTATTGGACCCTCCAGAAAAATTATAAAATGGTAAAAATACCCTTGGTGTTCAATTCAGTCCAAATCCCAAGTACCATCACTATGCCATATCAGAACCTGTTGTAAGGCCGCCTTCTTTCTAGAATAGTCTTCAAGGGTGCTGATCGATTCCTATCAATTGACGAGTTCAAATCAGCCCCCCACAATGTCCCACAGCACATCCCCGCCATGTATTGGGAACATCTCCCGATGATGACCTCATCATTTCTGGTATTATCATCAGGAGATGTTCCCAATACACGGCAGGGATGTGCTGTGGGACATTGTGGGGTGGGGGGGGGGCAATCTTGTGGGAGACTGATTTGATCTCTCAGTTGGCAATGCTAAAGCTGTCTCCTTGCTTCTTAGCTTGATTGAAACAGATGCTATCCCTATGAGTGACTTCTTCCAAACTGCTAGTACGATGTTTGCTTATATGGAAAAAGTATAGTAACAATCTAATATGCCCCGTCAATATCAAATTGAGACTAAGGTGGCGTTTGATTGCACTTTTTAGATGTCTGAATCTGAAAAGTTTGCTTTTCAGACACCTTGCTTTGTTTGGTATTACCTCTTATTACAGATCTGAAATTGGATTTCAGATATTAATTTCTAAGAGGTGGAGAAGCTTCTTAATGCGCTCAGACCTAATTCAGAGGTACTTAAAAAGACATAAATACCCTCAAAGAATTTTAATATTACATATTTTTGTCCTTCATGTAAATTGAATCGAACCCTCACTGTGAACTAACAAAGCTCCACCGCCACCACTGCCGCTGCACTCTCTCTCTCTCTCCTGTATCCCCGCCACCGCTGCTGCAGCAGCGGTGGTTCTTCTCTCTCGCTCTGCCCTGTCTTCCGCCACTGCAGCAGTGGTTCCTCCCCCCCCCCCTCTCTCTCTCCCTCTGTCTTCCACCGCAATTTTTTATTATTTATCAATTATCAATTATTTTATTAAACATTAATCATAATAAATTTACTTGTGCTATTTATTATTTTTTAATTATTTTTATTAACTAGTAATTTTTAATTATTTCATTACATTTTTAATTTTTTTATTTTTATTTGTGTAAACTAGTAATTAGTCATTATTAATTATTTTAATATTTTTATAGTCATTAATTATTTTTTTAAATTTTAATCGTTTCATTTATTAATTAATAATTTTTTATTTTTTATTCATATTGTTTCAATATTATTTTGAGGTTGAAAACTACTTTTTATGAGATAATGTAAATTGAACTCAACATTTCCAAATAGTATGTTCTAGGGGTAAAATTAGTAAATTTCAGATGGTAAAAGGTCCATCCAACACAAACAAACTTATGGATTCAGATCCTCTAAAAAGTAGAAAAGCAACTATGCCTCTTTTCAGATTTCAAACACTTTTAATATCTTTTTAACTTTTCGATCTGAACTTTCAGATTTATCAAATGCCACTTAAAATATTCTCTTACAGTCAAAGAGAGAAGAAAATCCAAGTATCGATAGAGTCCAGTATGCCAAATTGGGGTATCAGATTTTGTAGCAACACTTTATTTCTTTAGTTTCTTTTCCAAACATGTTCAGGGGGTCAGTTAAAGGCCTCACTACCCCTTGAAACAGGTCTTACCCCGAAACCCCCATATTTTGCATATCAGTGACCACCAATACGATACGTATTGGCTGATATGGGCTGGATACATATCGATACTTTGGACCTTGTTCAGTAAGGATGGCAATTTTACCCATTGAATTGGGGCTCTGCCTGCCCGGCTGCCCCACCCTAAATGGAGTGGCTTTTCCCTGATCTTAAATAAGGACAGGGCAAGGACGGGGAAACCTTTTTTGCTCCGAAGTGGGGATGGGGCAGGAATGGGGTTTGCATATAATTTCCTGAACCCGGTAGTAAATTATTAAAATACCATGTTTATTTTTTTTTTTTATTTCTAAAATGTCCCCAAGTTTCCTTCACAATCCCCAAACCCTAGGATCCCATAATCCCATTTCTAAAATATCCCCAAATTCCCATAGTCTCATTTCTAAAATACCCCCAACTTCCCAAGATCCCATTTCTAAAATGCCCTCTAAATTTGATGTATTTTTAGGTGATTTCCTCAGGGTGAGGAAATTTCAGGATTCCTCATCCCCAATGGGGAATGGGCACCCCACCTCAAATCCACCCTAACACCAAGATGAGGAGAATAGGAGATGCCCTGACCCATTGTCATTCCTAATTCTCAGCAAGGATACAACACCTACTCTTAACTTAGTCTTGGGTGAGCTCCTTTGGAAGGAAATGAGGTTGATCACTCAATCTACTATTATTAGTGAGAAATATGATTCTAGAGTTGAAGAAATTTTTCTAGCAAACAAGTCCAAGACAAAGGACTTCTCAAAAATACAGTGATATGAGTGCAAGGAGTATGGGCATGTTATCTCCCATTGAAAAAAGAGCTTTTCTAGTTATTGTAAGCAACAAGGATATATAATATTTGAATGTCCCAGTAAGCCACATAAGGGAAACAATTCATGTTCAAGAAAGAATCGGTATAAGGCCTACCAAACTACCATAGAAGGATCATACAACACTTTCCTCCACTTCTATTGCAACAAAAGGTGAAAGTTTCAATACTCCTATAGAAGATAAAATGAGGCAATTAGAATTCAAAGTCATTTCCTCTGCATTTTCAGTCATTGATCTATCTAGCAAGTCATCATATTATTGTTCCTTCCCCAACCACCCATCGTTTTCAAGGCGCCAAGAGGAGTAGTAGTAGTAGTAGTAGTAGTAGTAGTAGTAGTAGTAGTAGTAGTAGTAGTTCGTATTGATTAAACCCTAACAAATAAGAAAACAAAAAAAAAAGAAATTAGTATATAAACAGACAACTACTTGGCAATTAGGCGAGATGAGCATCAAAGGGCACCTTATCGCCTAGGTGTCACCTTGACAACCATGCAACCACCTTTGGATTATTAACTCCAATGCCTTTATCCATATGACAAGGGCATAGTCTAATCAGTCCTTTAAATCTCAATACTCGAATAAGCATATTATTACTACTAAGGGGGAAAAACTAGAAATTGTTGGATGTAATGATTTGTCCTTATTTCATCCATAACTTCTCTGTTTCATCCTCTTGAAACCCTTATTGTTCCTAAATTCATAATAAATTTGATTTCAATTTGTCAATTAGTTGAGAATGGTACCTCGTTTCATCTTCTCATGATGGTTGCTTGATATAAGACCAACGAATTGAGACGATGAAGGGGAAGGAGCATAAGTTGAGCCAACTATTAGATTTTGAAATTGAGAGAAGACAATAGGCTTGCTCTCTTCCATCTTGTTGCTTTCTACTACCACTAGTTCTAAAATTGTATACAAGAATAACATGTGCATAGTTATCAAGGCATCTATGTGATTCTAGGCAACATTGGGGTGCCTAGTCACCTAGGTAGGTGCCTAGGCAATAAGAATTTTATAAAATAAAGAACTAACTTTTGGTTAGTTACCTGCCTGGGAGTAGGCGATGCCCAACAATAAGAATTTTATAAAATAAAGAATTAGCTTTTGGATAGTTCCCTGGTTTTATATACCATTCAGCATGCATAATAATTGAAAAAAAATAGCAATTTTTTATTAAAACATAAAATTTCCATTAAAAATATGGCAAATCATCAATCTAAAAGACAAAAATCTTTTAAATATATTAATTTCATTATTTTCAAAAATAATACTACTATAAAAAATATTTAATAGAGCAACTTCATATCGATTAGCAACAAAAACCTTATATGATAAAATTTCAAGATGGAAGCAAAATAGGAGGATCGAGTTGTTTTATTTAATTGAAGAGAGGGAGAAACATGGAAAAAAACAAAAAAAAAGTCTATATCTATATGTTTATTCTTTCTTTTTCTCTCCTCAAAACCCTTTTTATCTTTTAAATTTCAATAGTAAAACATGAAAATATAGAACAAAGGATATGTGTAGATATAGTATATAATAGAATGTATTAACACATTAACAAGATATAGTAATACAATTGATATTATAATAAGGTGCTCGTCTTGTCATTTTTGTCGCTTAGACAAGCACCAAGTTGCTATAAGTAAAGGCATTTGGGCAAGGTGCCCAGCCAAGGGTGCCTAGTCACCTAGGCAACACCTTGACCGCTATAAGCATGTGGCATCCTCAGCATAGGCATCTAAATCATCCCTATACTAAATTACTAGCAAACTAGAGTCTTTGTTTCAGGTTAGATATTTGTCTCCTAAAGTTTCTTTCTTGCAAATGTTGATAAATCTTGCATTTCATGTTGTTTGAGTAAGAACCATATTTTACCCTTCTTCCACAAGCATACAATTGTTTCTCTTAAAGTGAAACATGGTGGTGTTTGGTCATATCCAGAGACTTCAAGTTTGAGATATAGATACTTTGTTTTATTTATTGATGAGTACACTCGAGTATATTTCTTGAGAAAGAAATCAGATGTTTTTTCCAATATTTAAATAATATTTATCCATGATCAAAAATCAATTAAACACTTCCATTTGAACACCTCAGTCAAACTTTAGGAATGAGTACATGAGCACTTTGATGGTGAAGTTGGAGAATTCCAAACCTAATAGATAAACCATGGAATTCAATCACAAAGCTCTTGCCCTAGCACTCCACAACAAGACAAAGTGGCAAAGCACGAGAGCAAATATATCTTGAGTGTGGAAGGGACATTACTTCATAATTCCCATGCTCCTACTTTTGGGTTGAGGTGACCAAGACAATTGTGCATCTTATCGACTTCTTTCTTTGAATATTGTCTCTCCTTTCCAATGTTTATTTCATCAGTCAATGGACCTTCCTATGCTTCATGTGTTTGGTCATGTGTGCTTTGTTCACCTTCCTCCCCAATCCCAATGAGAGTGCAAAGCTTACATCCCAATTAGCTGTGTGTTTTTGTGGAATACAGTTCTGATTACAAAGGATTTCTTTGCTATTATCCTTGCACCCATCAATTTTGTGTCTCGGAATGTTATTTTTCTTAAGAACATTTTCTTTTGTGCTCACATTGTTAAACTTCCTACTACATCTGTATTGCTCCATTCTTTTGACTACTCAAGTTCCATGGATTCCTCTTCTTCTATTCCGAAGTTGCTTGAGAAATCTCTATGGTCTATCAGCTTAAGTAATCCATCTCTATATGGTCTTAAACAAGCTACCCGAGCTTGGTTAGAGAAATTATGTTCTACCATAAATAATATGGGTTTATTCAAAGCTCCATTGATTATTGCTCATTCATATTGAGGTGACCTCAAAGAATCACTTTGATGCTTTTATATGTGGGTGATAATTGATATCCTTATCACCGGAGATGATAATGTTAGATTGTCAGTATTACTTGTTTGAAATAGCTACTTAGTAAATCCTTCAAGATCAAAGATCTTGGACATCTAACCTATTTCCTAGGGTTAGAAGTTACACATTCCTCTCATGGATACTTTGTTAACCAGAACAAATACGCTTTTAATCTTGTGAAACCTACTAATCTGACCAATAACAAGCATGTGGATACTCCTCTTGAGATGAACCTTAAACTTTCTAAGGACGACGATGAGATCCTTCTTGATGCTACACTCTACTAGCAACTTGTTGACAACCACATTTACCTTACTATGACTACACCAGGCATCTCTTATGTTGTTTAAGTGGTTAGTCAACTTGTGTTTTCTCCTCAATAGCAACATATATCTATAGTTCTCCAAATTATCTGTTACATACAAGGTAGTCTCAGTGTTTTAAAAGCGCAAGGGGCATTTTGCGCCCAAGGCATAAGGCGCAAAGCGAGGAATGTGTAGGGAAAAATAAAGAAAAAATTATCTGTTATCGACAAGACCCCCCTTTCAACTAATGTTATGCATTTTTATTCTTCTTAATATAAAAGATTTTTATTAAAAATAAAGAAAAAACGAGATCCCCCCTTCCTCTTCATCCTCCTCCTAACCCCCCCTCTCAAGGAGGCTTTACGCCTCCTTGTGTTTGGGAGGCTTATGCCTCTTGCGTTCTGAACTACACCTCATGCCTCTAGGTAGTGGAACGCCTCGCGTCACGCCTCCGCATTTTAAAACATTGATTTCATTCTTGTAAGAGAAGGGCACAATGGTACTTTCTTACTTTTTATACCAATAACATATAAGATTTTTTTTGGGTGTGATAACACAACATACCCTAGATAATCCATTTGAAATGTTATCACTACACATATGACAAAAATATAAATACTAGATAATCCAATTTGTAATTATGTTTTTATAATATTTTTTTATGAATATTATGTTTTTATAATATTATAAATATAAAATGACTAATCTAGCAAGAACTCATTAAATATAATTAACCAATATGTAAATCAACATAAAGAACTCTGAATTTCCTATTGACTGTCAAGTCAGTTAAATCTAAAGCAAATCCTTTGCCAAGTAAACCAAAAAATCAGTCAACTCAAACAGATTGAAAAAATAATATTGAAATTGCAATAGAAACTAAATTGGCTCTTTTTAAGCATGCATAAAAGTTTTAAAAATTTAAGATATATCTTAGTTTGTATAAGCATGCCATAGTATCTAAAAGCTGCAATCGCTAAATATACATACCTGTGACTCCACTAAATCTGTTGCAAAGCTTCTCAACAAGAGATTCCATTTGTTTATCCTAGAGAAAGTTTAAACACAATGTGATGTTCTTGAAACCCGATGATTTTACCTTCAACCAATTAAAAGCTACCTTTACCTTCTTGATGGAACCTATTAAGAACTGCATTATGTTGCAAAAGTCCTCTTTCTTCAAGTTTTGGTTGGATAACCTCCCCAAAATGTCAGGAAGCAGATTATAAATTGGATTACTTCCTGTAGGCAAAAATTTCCAAGATGCATTGAGAAACAAGCATGAGACATTTATCAACATAGTTAGGCAATCACAGTGCTTACCCTTCTTTGACAACTCATGAAAGAAGAGTTTGGCTAGACTTGAAATCCTCTCATCTTCATCTTCTAACCGCATGGCCATTTCATTTATATAACCCTTCACCTAATCAAGTAACATTAAATGATAAAGTCTCTCCATAACTAATAATAGAAGATTAAAGTCATAGTGGTTATCCAACCAAACAAACCTTCATCATGTCATTCAATATAAGATGCGAAAGCACTAGAACAGCATTTTTTCGAACAGGAATAGAAGGATCCCTTAAGCGAGCATACATGTTCTCAGTCCAAGGTTCTAAGAGATTAGGAAAACGAACAGCCAAGTCTCCCAGGGCTATGGTGCAGTTGGAACGAACAGTTTCAGATGGTGCACTTTCCACAACCGTGAATAGAAGTTGAAGATTTGCTTCACTAAAATGCATCTAGTTAGAAATAATTCACATTTCACGCTATTATTTTCTTTTGAATCAATGTACAAAAAGACACAGTAAGATTACTATAGTTAAAGCATCACTTGGGTTACTACCTAGGCGTTTTAGAGGCTCATCACCTAGGTGACTAACAAGGTAGGCAGTATGGATATGAACGTCTAATGGAGAAAATAACTAACTATACCCCGCATATATATTTGAAAGTGTATAACCCATTTTGCATTGGTAAGAGTGAATATAGAGGTAAACATTAGGACTTAGTCTTTATGTGTATGTGTGCTTTCCTTTGAACCAAGGATGTTACTAAAAGACTAATTTTTTCCTAAAATCCAGGTGTATGTTGCCATTTAATCATTTAACAACTTAATTTGTGGTTTTGTAGTATATAATTGACATGCGACTACATAATATTTATGTATAATTTACTCAGACATTAAAAACGTCAATATATTTATTTATTCATGTGCATCACCTACAAGATGCCTAGTAGTCGTCTCTGCATCAACTTGCCTTTCCAAGCTAGTGTGGCATTTGGTAAACCTGAACTCTTGCAGTCTTGCCTCTAGAAAACAAGAAAGTTCTGAATGCATTTCTAATCAAGATGTTTTTCTGTACTTCTGAATGTAATAAAGATATTTGGTGTTTCGAATGTTAGAACCTCTAAAGAAATACTTTTTACTGTTTTACCCGACAAAATATATGATATATATCACTAATAGGAGTACAGCATTCTGTAAAAGCATACAGGTAGCATTGAGTGTTTACATCTTAGTAAAAGGGGATCTAATTGTTTGTCACATAAGGGGCAATGAAACAGTATCAATAGAAAGGGAATGGGGAAGAGAGATCAGGCTCACCCATTAACCCAGGGGCACAGGTTTACTTCAGATGAAAAGAAGGTTCAATGGGAAGAGATCAACATAGTTCAGTCATCACTCATCAAAGGGAGTGAAGTTGGTCAGGAGAATCAAATTAATCAATGCTTCATTGCACCAGCCTAAGAGAGTTGGCATTGATGTTTCACTACCGTCTCAATGTAAGCAAGTTTGTGATCTCCATGTCCTGCAATAGTCTTGAAGATTGCAATGAGGAGCTGTTATGGGCCCGCGAATAGGATCTCGTCACGGGTCTGTCCACGGGGAAAAGCTCCTGTTTTCCCTTGTTCCTCCCCTTCCTAGCTTACCTATCTTGGCGTCCTAGAGGGCGATTTGTCCAAGAGATCACTGAACTCTCCTTTTACTCTCTTTCTTGACAAGAAATTTGATATCTTTATTCAATAATTTCAGCTCCTTAAATAGGAGATTACAAGAGGTAAGAGTCCTCCTTGTAGGAAGACTCCTTGATAACTAAACTGCTTACAGATAAGATAGATAAGACTCCTAGATAAGACTCCTAGATAAGACTAACTAAACTGCTTACAGATAAGATAGATAAGACTCCTAGATAAGACTCCTAGAGAAGACTAACTAAACTGCTTACAGATAAAATAGATAAGACTCCCTACTCAAGAAGGATAAAAACTCTCTAAGATAAATCAAACTCTATACTAATCCTTACTAGAACAGATAAGATAAGAGTAAGAAAGCAGATAAGATAAAGATAAGGTAAGATGAACTATGGCTAGCTAGATAATCTGATGAGGGTCCCACGTTACTGCTGCTGCCGGTGGCGGTACTTCTTCCCCACGAATGCGTCCATAACATTACTCCCCTCCTGGACTACGAGCTTGTCCTCAAGCTCGAAATCTGGATATGTGTCTTGGAGTTYAGTCAAGGGAATCCAGGATAGGTGGAATGATTTAGCCCTCCTAGATCGGGTTCCACTGAAGGGGGTTCATCCTCATCGTCCTCTTGTTCCACCAGGAGGCAGAAAAGTCTCTTGCACTTGTGCCTTGCTGAGTAGAGTTCATCACAATTAAAACACTGTCCCCACACCCTGCGTTCCGCCATCTCAGCCCTAGACAAGTGCTTAATAGGGGGTGCAACAACGTTGCTCCCTTCACTGGACGCTGATCTGGAATTGTGGCTCGTCTATGGTTTCCATTCTTGGCTGGCTGCTGAAGATGGAGCCATTCCGAGTGGTTCCGAGGATGCCCATGCGGTTGGAGACCGCCCCATACTGAAGGTTCCGCAGCTGAGCTACATCTTTCGTTCGAAGGCGCGAGCTAGATTCATGGTTCTAACCAGGTTGGGGGTGTTGCATCTCCACATCCACCCTCAAGGGTTCTGCTAACCCTGCGGTGAACATGTCTACCTGCTGGTCCAGTCGTACCGAAGCTACTCTGGCAAGGAGGGTCTGGAATTGGCGTTGGTATTCAACCACCGTTCCCGTCTGTTTGAGGTTGATCAGTTCACCCAACGGGTTGCTCGTCAATGGGGAACCAAACCTGAGGAGGCAGTAGGATTTGAATTGGGTCCAACTGAGCCCGGGTTCCTCCTGCTCCAATTTATAAAACCAGAGTTGCGCCTCCTCCGTCATGTGGAATGCGGCCAAGCTTACCTTGTTGCTGTCCCCTGTCCATTGGTTGCGGAAGAACTGCTCGAGCCTATTGTACTTGGAAACGACCGCGGCTACCGAGGCGACGACCTGCTGTTCGTCGGACGACTCCGTCAAGTCTGATCAGCGGCTGTTTGTGGTTACAGCCCCTTCTAGATTCCTCTCCTTGTTAGAGAAATACGATTCTAGCAAGCGTCGCAGCTCCCGGACATCGTCTTTGACCTCACGAACCTCCACACTGGTTTCCATGAGCCTATGCTCCAATTCGTGGACCCTGGATGATAGCTGCTCTAGATCTCCCATGACGGTAGGCTCTGATACCAAATTGTTATGGGCCCGCGAATAGGATCTCGTCACGGGTCGGTCCACGGGGAAAAGCTCCTGTTTTCCCTTGTTCCTCCCCTTCCTAGCTGAACCTATCTTGGCGTCCTAGAGGGTGATTTGTCCAAGAGATCACTGAACTCTCCTTTTACTCTCTTTCTTGACTGGAAATTTGATATCTTTATTCAATAATTTCAGCTCCTTAAATAGGAGATTACAAGAGGTAAGAGTCCTCCTTGTAGGAAGACTCCTTGATAACTAAACTGCTTACAGATAAGATAGATAAGACTCCTAGATAAGACTAACTAAACTGCTTACAGATAAGATAGATAAGACTCCTAGATAAGACTCCCTACTCAAGAAGGATAAAAACTCCCTAAGATAAATCAGACTCTATACTAATCCTTATTGGAACAGATAAGATAAGAGTAAGAAAGCAGATAAGATAAAGATAAGGTAAGATGAACTGTGGCTAGCTAGATAATCTGATGAGGGTCCCACGTTACTGTTGCTGCCGGCGGCGGTACTTCTTCCCCACGAATGCGTCCATAACAGGAGCTCTCTCAGAGCTATACAGGTTGCATTGATGAAGGTGAAAGGTAGGTCGAGATAGTTGCTAATCCTTCCTCTCTCCAAGTGTCATTCAATCATGTTTGGTTGGGGATGAAATGGATGCTGGTGGCGTGTGTAGCAAGTTGTTGTCAGCAGGGGTTGAGATGGCTTCCAAGGTCCAACTGGTGGAGAATTCAGTTGAAGCTGGATCCAACAAGAAGGATGGAGAAAGGAATCTGAAGAGTATTAAAATTGTTCTAGTAAGGAATTCCAGCATGTAGATGAGCAGGTAAGCTTTGGAGAATGGTTAACAGATTAGAGAGAAAGAGTCACAGAGGAATCACAGGGTGTAGCAAGAAGTGAAATCATTATAAGAGGAGTTGGGGAGGAGTTGGGTCATATTAGGAAAGACAGTCAGATCGCTCTTTGGATTGTTCCTATGGCAAAATATCATCATCAACTGTTGACAAATTTTTAGTGAATGAGAAGGAAAAGAAAATTAATTTAGTGAAAAAAATTCAAATTTTCTAAAAATAGTTGGTTGATTCAGGTATCCAATTGGATTATGGGGAGCTGGTCATCGTAAGAGTTTTAAGAGGGTATACAATAGGAAGAGGTTTAAAGGTAGCAGACATATCCCTAAGTTGCTTTGGAGAGTGAAACAATATAGAAGACATTTCCAAGATGCTTTCAGGTAGAAACTCTTTTGAAGCCTCTGATTTGCTGAATACTGGAGAGGCTCCAAGAGTTGAAAATCAGAGGAAAAGGCTTGATGAAAAGGGGATGGCATTTTTATCATTTGAAAGTAGCCTAAGCTTGCCTTGGGTCTCTGGCACTCATACAAGTTATGAAGGATCAGAAGGGGATGAGGGTACAAATGTGATTGTGTTGAACAGAATCAAGGGAAGAGGAAAGGAGCACTGGAGCAGTATGAGTCTAATAGTGGTTTGACAGAAAACTCAGGGTAAGAACAACTAAGAGTCTGGATTTGTTCTTCCTGCAGGGTGACGATCTTGCCAGAAGTTTTTTTGGAATTAGATGGTAGAGAGTGAAATAAAAATCCTGATACCATAATTACCATTTTGGTTAAATCCATTTTGCAGCCTGGAGTTGATTCATCTGGTAATTTTGATGGTTGAGGAGGGTGAGAGCAGACTCTATGGAGAAGTTTCAGATTGGTCTAAGCTTCGTTCGGCTGTGATGGTTATTTGGTCTTTATCTATCAAAAAAAATGGTTACTTGGTCTTTGTGAGTTCATGTTAGGGGGCAGACAAATTTCCCATGATTTTTTATTAGATCTATGGTTTTAGGTTGTGTTTGGTTTGAAAGAAAATGTAGGAAAAGGAAGGGAAAGGGAGGAAAACCTGTACAAGGTTTGTATGAGTTTCCTTACCTTTCCCTTACTTTCCCTACCTTTTCTTTCAAACCAAATACAGCCTTAGGGTTGATGTTTTTTCTTGATTTTACTTCTGTCAATAGAAAATATAGAGGATTGATTTGTCATGTTTTGGGTGTTTGTTTATATTAGTTGAACTTTTATGTTGGGACTGCAGTTCTTGTAGTGTTCTGAAGCTTTTATAGTTGGGTGCAGTCATAGCTGTCAAGGTGATGTCTAGGCAACAAGGCATCCATTGAGAGTCCCCTAACCTCACCAAGTGCCTTCTCGAAACCTAGGGAACCACCCCCCAGGATCTAGGTCTTTTATTTTAAAATCCATTGAATAGGAAACAGGGCACTATCTATGCCTTGGCTCCTTGGCACCTTGGCAACTAAGCGTGTGGTAAAACATCATGAAGGATGTTGGGGCCAAAATCCCTGAATACATCTTGTATATTTCTTCTGTTTTTTATGAAAATCTCTCTTTTACTTTTTTTTGAAAAGGAAAAATATTTTCCAGATAACCTCTTGATTTAGGCATAGTTCATTTTTAGGGAAGTCATTTACCTAAGTAAATGCACTTATCCAGGTAAATGTTTCCTAGGAAACACTTACCCGGGTAAGTGCACTTACTAGTGTTCTTTTGTTTCCCAGATAAAGTTAAACAATGACCGTTTTATCTACAAAGGTGCCATTATTGAAGGGGAAACGTTGCTCCATCACATGTTAGCAATTCTCAACCGCAGACAAGAAAGTTAATTACCCAAGTGGGCGCAGGGTAATACTTACCCAGGTAACTGAGCTGCTCGGGAATCATAGTTTTCTATGAGACCCACTAATATCAAAACACGAATGCAGGTCAGTTGGTCAACTCTCGCACTGACTAACTTACCCATCCCCATTTACCAAAACACAAACGAGGCCTTAGTGCTAAATATTATCCACCTGATCCTTTAAAAGCAAAATTTTTGAAGTTCAAAGGCCAGTTCAGCACTACTGAAACAATCTAAAACACCTAGACCTAGGCCCTGTTCGGGCACGTCTTTCCGCGTGGTCTGTCAACAAGCTCGACAGACCGCGATTCGGTCTTTTCCCGTTTGGTCCACAGTAGATTTATCCACCAAAAGCCAACACACTGAAAAGACGCGAGAAGCCCAAAATGGGCGATTTTCAAGAAACTCTAAACGGAGCTTTTGCGTTTTTTTTTTCTATTCGTCTTCGTGCGAAAAGACACATCTTAACCAAACAGGCTTCAGGCTGCTCAGATCTTAATGCAAAAGCTCAATGCGTCTTTTGACTGTCAGAGCTACCAGAAGATCTTCCCAAAAAGACTTGCCAAATGGCCCCCTAGTCATTGCCTAACCACTTTAGCTAATGAATTAGATCTTACCAGAAATCTGAATCTATAATCATGAACCGGCAAAGTGAAAGCATCCCAGCAGCCTGCAGCTCCGGATACTAGAAGTGACAGAAAGATCATATCAGTTATGCGAGTATAAATTTTCTAGGAGATTAACCATGCACTCTACAGTATTTCTATGAAGAGAATTACCTTCTGCATCAAACTAAAATTTCTACAGAGCTTAGACAGGAAGGGTGCACATTCACCAATTAAGCTCTTTTCAGTGGAACTCCCTGAGACTATTTCTTTTTCTGCTTTCTCAGAGAGAGCATCAAGTATTGTATCTTCCGAGGCAGCAAGACCCAATTCAGCATTTATACCACTGTCCTGCATTCCATGTACAAATAGGAAAACACTGTTAAAGTAAATGGAATATCAATTTAAAAAAAAAATAAAATGAATATTGTGATGCACAGCGGAATTTCTTGCCAAAGACAAAAATAAATTGTCTTACTGGAAGCAATCAGTTCCATCAATGAAGTAATCAAGTAATATCCAAAATCCTGTTCTGACCTTTATAGGTGCATCTGCGAGTTTTTCGCAGCTATCCTGAGAATTTTGAGACTCAGCATCTGATTTTTCTTTCTTTGATTTCTGTTTCTGAATCTTTCGAACACAGGATTCAATGTAGACCAATTGATTAAGTGCCACATGACTTACAACAAACAAAAATCTACTAAGCTTAGCAACTTGCACTGTGGTAAGGTTGACAGAGGTACCACTTTTAATACCAATTGGCATTTCAACTCCTTCACTACCATCAAATACAGAACTTAGAGATATTTTCACCATATCAGCAGCTAAGGTTTCAGGTGTTGGGTGAATGGCGTAAATGACACTTATGGCTTTATCTGCAGCTGCATACCATATGTTTTCCGGTAGCCAAAAACCAGTTATTAAACTTTGTAGTAAACCAAAGACCCGGTTTCCAGCACCTGAAATCAACTTATGTTTGTCTTCTTCAGACAATCTTTGAAGAGCAATACATGCTGTTCTTGCAAGAAGAGGTTCCTGCTTTGCCCAACGGCCAAACCCAATGTCGATTATATCCTGCAAGTGGGAACTAAGAATTGCACTAGATGATTTTGCTGCCATGCAGAGAACTGACAAAGCTCCACGACTTTGCTCTGCTGTGACACCACTAACATTAAAGCTAAAGAAATCCCACAAGGCTGATATCTGCAAACAGAATGATACATAAAGAAGGAAATTGAACTCAGCAAGGCAGAACAAGAACAAGATTTGAAGATTCTAGAGAATGTGGACATTTACTAAAATATGTATGTTGAAGTCATTTTTTTATTCAAATAATCTGTAATAAGTGGGCTAGCTAGTCTACTAGCCAAATCATTAAAATTATAAAAAGGTATCCTGTATGGGAGTTCCCCCTCTTAAGTGGGGAGTTCTCTCTCTTTAAGTGGGAGGGACAGGTGTCCTTCACCTAGGAGGAGGGGGTAGTTACATAACCACCCCACTCCCTATTTAAGCTCCTTAAGGGGAAGCTAGAAACACATACACAGAGAGACTCTTCGGAGAAAATTTTCACAAGAGATTCTTAAGAAAAACAAAGATAAGGAGAGAAGAAAAGAGAAGTGCTCAAGGGAAGGCAACGAAGGAAAAATCTCATTAATACAAGTAGAGAAAAGGAAAGTCCTCTCTGTGAATACTTCCCATTTATGTCCTCTGCCATGTATTCTTCTTTCTCTCCCTTTTGTTATTACTTTTGAGAAAGGAAAAAGAGGGAAAAAACCATGTACAACCAGGTGTCTTTACTTGGCTGATTATGGTCCCTCTTTCAAGACAAAGTTAGGGATTAAACCATCTACAGTCTAATTCTCGAAGACTGATTATGGTTCCCTTCAAATGAAAATGAAGAGTAAGGGGGAATGAACCATCTACAACCAGGTGCCTCTACTTGGTTGATTATGGTYCCTCTTTCAAGACAAAGTTAGGGAGTAAACCATCTACAGTCTAAATCTCAAAGGCTGATTATGGTTCCCTTCAAATGAAAATGAAGAGCGGAGGGATGAATATCGTCTACAATCAAATATTCAATTTGATTGACTAAAGTTCCCTTTTTGTATGCAAAATTCCAAGGAGTAAGGCTGTCTACAATCAGAATTTCACCTGATTGACTACAACTTATTATGAAGAAAGGAGTGAGAAGGAAATTTTCTTTGTATTAAAGAAAAGAGAAATGTATTGCTGTATAGTTTCTCAATTGTATTTTTTTTTCTTTCGTCTCATTCTTGTACACCTGATGTAAAAGAAAAGCAAATGAAAAGTTCTTTTTTAAGTATCCTATTGTTCTTTTCTTTTGTTCTATGTGTTCATTTCTCCAAGTCAGAATCAAAAGGTGTTCTCTACTTTCTTGTGGGGATGTAATTATTTGCAGTATAATCACTGCATCAGCATATTTGCTGTTTTTTTAGCCAATTTTGCAGTAATTAGACTGCAAATCTTGACTTTAAATAAACAGCAGATACGCTGTTTCAGCAAACATGTTGATGCAGTAATTACACTGCAAATCTTGACTTTAAATAAACAACAGATTTGCAATAATTAAGGGGAATAATCTGTATGATTCCCTGAATGGGCCTTACCCAAAATAATAAAAACTCAATCACTTGATTGAATGGAATTATGTTGCATGAGAATTTATTAAAATTTTCACACCAACAATGTATAAGTTCGGATTTGTCTTGGCTAATGGCTACATTATGAGCAACTGCAAATTAAGAAGTTCTCAAGGACTTCATTTCGTATTTAGGATTCCTACTAAAATCACTATTTTTTGGTAATGTTGTTCATTCATTCATCCTACTAAAATATCTTCTTAAAAAGCAATTAAAATTATAAAATCATTATTTTTTGTCTGAGAACTAAGAATTTAGGACCCTAACATGGACTTATTTGGGCTTGCCTCGAGGGACGTGGCACAAAGGCAACTTGTAGAATTAGGAATGTAATATGTTTTACATCACATTAGCTACTTGAAGTAATGCAATTGAAGAAAAAAAGAGATTGTGGGATTTACACGCTTGAAAATGTTTTATATGTTTAATTTTATTGTTAAATTTTCATTTGAATATGCTTTGCATGTTATGTTTATGTATTTTAATTTTAGATAATAGGTTTTTTAAAACCATTAATTTTAAAAATTAAGTTGATATTTCTTATTAATATTGTGTTTAATATTTTTTTTGCATTTTTTGAATTTTCTGACACTTTTTTTATTTTTTAACAATTTTTTGTATTTTTGCGCCTTGCTTCAAAATGGTGTGCGCCTCACCTTCTGCCTCTCACCTCGGGTGCAAATTCGCCCTTGTGCCTTGCGCTTTTAAAACACTGGGAAGAAGCTTGTATAGATGAAACACATCAAATTGATGAAGTTGTTGACATTAATAAGGTTGTGGACAAAGGTGAATATGAGGATGTTGAAGAAAATGAAATTTCTAAAGTGTTCTTTATAAGTTTTTAAGCTCTGGGGAATTCTTGGGGGTATCCTTCAAAGGACTAGAAGAGGATGCGAAAGCCCTACTAGTTGCCATTGAAAGCAGGTTTTTAGTGGAAAAAGGAAAAAAGAACAAAAGGCAATCAAAAGAACTACTGAGAGTAGCCCAGGGCTTAAGTGACACCGTCAGGAGTGTGAGACGAGACAACGAAAACTCAAAAAGTTAACAAATAGAGAGGATCAAAGTTTCATCATGGAATGTTAGAGCTCTTTGCTCTAGTAGAAGAAGATTGGTAATCAGTGGTTTCTTAAAAAACAAAAGGCCTAGTTCCCTATTACTTCAGGAGACTAAATTGCAAAAACTAACATTCAAAGTGGTGAGAAGCATTTGGGGGTTTTGACTCTTGCGATTGGCTTGAAATACCAGCGGTGAACAGTGCTGGTGGAATGGCCCTTTTATGGAACAATAATGCCTTTAAACTCTTAGACAAGAAGATTGGAGTGTTTTCCATCTGAGATAGGTTTTAGTGGGAAGCAAATAACCCACAATTAATGGTAATAGAGGTGTATGTGCTAGTGGATTCAAGTCTAAAAGATGTCTTTTGGGAAGAACTAAACTCGGTTAGAAGAGATTGGGGAGGACCTTGGGTGATTGGGGGGATTTCAATGTCATTGTCAACCCGGAAAACAAGAAAGTTTGTACAAGGATTAATAGAGGTATAAGATATTTATGGAATTTATTCAAAGATGGGATTTAATTAATCCACCACTCTCCGGAAAAAATACACCTAGACCAATAATCAGGACTTGTAAGGTTAGATAGGTTCTTGATTTCTATGGAATGAGAAGAAACTTTCCCCAACTCAAAGCAAGAAGCTCTTCCTAGAGTTGTTTCAAACCATATTCAACTTATGTTAGACATAGGTGGCTTAAGGAAAAATCCCTCCCCCTTTATACTTGAACAATGTTGGCTGGACTCAGAGGAACTGGTGTCAAACATTCAGCAGTGATGGGATGAAGCCTCCTTTGAAGGCACAGCCAGTCATGTTTTTTTCAAAAAACTTCAATGGCTAAAATCTAAATTAAAGCTTTAGCAGAAGGAAAGGTCAAAAAAGGATGATGAAAAAGGGAAGAGTGCTTGAGATTAATTGATGATCTAGATGCAGCAAAGGAAGAAGGTCCTCTGGATGAAGATAACAGAAGGAAAAGGACATGGGCAAAAAAAAGACTGATTTCTTAACCTATCAAAATGAAATTAAATGGAGACAAAGGGAAAGGGCAATATGGCTGAAAGCAGGAGATAGTAATACAAACTTCTTTCATAAAATAGCTAACACTAGAAGAAGAGTTAATTCCATAAATCAGCTGGAGTTGGGTGAAGCCTTTGAAAGCTTCTTTAAAAACCTTTTCAGTGATTCTTGTAAGCGTAGACCAAAGCTGAATGGTCTACAGTTTGGGCCTCTCTCAGAACAGCAGGCTATGGAGTCAGAAGAACCCTTCTCTGAAGAGGTAAAGAGTACCATTGGCAGTTTGGAAGGGGAAAAGGCCCCTGGGCCAGATGGGTTTACTATCCTTTTCTATAAGAAAATTTGGGATCTAATTAAAACAGATCTGTTAAAGGTTTTAGGGGAACTTCATGAATCGGCTGCTCTAGAGAGAAGTTTGAATGCGACTTTCTTATCTCTAATGCCTAAGAAAAGTGGAGCTAAAGAGCTGAAGGACTTCAGGCCAATAAGTTTGATTGGTAGTGTGTACAAAATCTTAGCCAAAATCCTGGCAAATAGGCTAAGAGGACTGGACTCTTTGATTTCTATCTACCAAGGTGCTTTTGTACATAACAAACAAGTCCATGATGGAGTTCTTATAGTCAATGAGTTAATTGACTCAAGAAAAAGAAGTGGAAGAATAGGCTGGTTTGTGAATTAAACTTAGAAAAGGCCTACGATCATGTAAATTGGGCTTTTTTAGTCTATATGTTGGAAAGAATGCCTTTTGGCTCAAAGCGGAGAAACTGGATAAAAGTTTGCATTTCCACACCAAGGTTCTCAATCTTACTGAATGGGTCAGCAAAAGGAGACCCACTATCACCTTTGCTTTTTCTAATTGTGATGGAAGGTCTCAGTAAATTGGTCTACAGGGCCTCAGATCTGAATCTCTTGGAGGGTTTTGATGTCCTAACAGAACAAAAATCCCCATTCTGCAATATGCAGATGACACCCTCCTATTCTGCAATGTTTCAGAGGACCAAATCCTAAACCTAAAATATCTGCTATTTTGGTTTGAGATTGTATCAGGGTTGTAGGTGAATTTAGCAAAAAGTGAAGTATTGGCTGTGGGAGAAGTGCCTAACAACCATAGCTTGGTTGATCACTTGGGCTGCAAAGTGGGTAGACTGCCTTCAATTTATTTGGGTCTGCCCCTTGGCACCAAATGTGCATCTCTAAAGCAATATGGAACCCAATCCTAAAAAGGATGGACCAAAAATCGGTATCCTAGAAGGCAAGATATCTCTCTAAAGGTGGCAAGGTCACACTAATCAGCTAGCTAGCCTTCAAACTTATTGTATGAGCCTCTTTCCTATTCCCTTAGAGGTAGCAAAGGAAATGGAAAAAAAAAAAGATGAGAAATTTAGCAAAAAGTGAAGTATTGGCTGTGGGAGAAGTGCCTAACAACCATAGCTTGGTTGAGATTAAGGATGAGAAATTTTCTTTGGAAAGGCTGGAAAGACTCCCACAAAGTACCATTTGGTGAGATGGGAGCAAATCTGCAAGCCCCTATCACAAGGCGGACTGGGATTAAGACATTAAAAGTTATTCAACCTTGCCTAAACTCTGGAGGAAGGTTATTGAGGAGAAATATGGCTCAAGGAATAATGAGTGGGATGCTGTTATACCCTCCTGAACTTATGGTTGTGGGGTGTGGAAAGGAATTTGCAAGGCATACAGGCAGTTCAGCAGGTGTATCAGTTTTAAAGTGGGAGATGGAAGAGAAACCAAATTCTGGTTAGACCACTGGACCGGTGACAGCACTCTAAAAGAGATGCTTGTATAATGTGGCTTCAAATAAGGAAGCCTTAGTGGCTGATACACTCTTGATCCAGGAAGGTAGGCTATGCTGAGGTCCTCCCTTCAGGAGGAGTTTTCATGATTGTGGACACAGCAGTGCATGTAGGCAAAGCGCTTGGTCTGTTAGTTATGGGTGGTGAATCTTTTACAAGGAGAATGTTCCAAGAATTGGAGGAAAACTATAGGTTACCAACTAAGGAAGCTCCTGCCCATTAAAAAATAAAAAATAAAATTATAAAAATATTGAAAGGGATGCTCCATGGAGGGTAGTGGCTAGTAAGTAGAGCTGTCAATTGGACTGGATTTGGTCCAACCCGATCCAGTCCAATGTGAGTCCACTTACAAATGGATTGGACCCAATCCAGTCCAAATCCAATACAAACAAAATCCAATCCAAGCCATTAAAATGTAAATGAACTGGATTGTATCCAATCCAAACCAAATGAAATATCAAAAATTATATAAAAAAACAGAACATAGAACAAATTACAAAAATATATTAGAATGAAGAAAATCTGAAAATTACAAAAATATACCCTTTTGGCATTGAAAAAGCACTTTTGTAAAAAAAGTACTTCTGTAAAAGTGCTTTCGATGAAGTGCTTTTGTAAAAGTACTTTTGTAGAAGTGCTTTTATAAAAGTACTTTCGCAAAAGTGCTTTTGTAAAAGTTGTTTCTTAAAAGTGCTTTCATAAAAGTACTTATATAAGTGTTTTTGTAAAAGTGCTTTCATAAAAGTATTTTTGTAAAAGTGCTTTCGTAAAAGTACTCTCATAAAAGCAATTTTATGCCAGCTTCAATTTTGATCGGTTTCAAATTGGACAAGGATTTGACCTCATGATCAGATTATTAGAAATTTGACTTAGGTCCAATTCAGACCAATAAGAATATGGACCAATTTATTTTGGATTGGCCCAATCCAGTAATTATAATGGATTGTCCAAATCCGATTTGATGAGGTTTGGATCAGATTGGATCCAATCCAAAACTGGTCGATTGACACCACTACTTTAAGTATGGGGTAGTGGTTTTGGGGTGAGGCACAAGGGAGATGAAATCAGCTTATGGGGTTAGTGCATGGAAAGGAATTATGAGCTTTCAATTAGCTTTTTCGAATTTTGTTTTTCTACATGCTAGATGATGGTTTTTCCAAAAAAAGGTGGGTGATGTTTCATCAATAAAATTTTGGGAGGATGATTTGGTGGGAATTGATAATTGTGTGATCTTTGCCTGGGGAGGTACAGCTTAGTAGGAAGAACATGTCTATTGCGGAGAGTTTTGATTAGAAGACCTTTGCCCTATTAGGAAGTGGAGGAATGTGTGAGTTTGTTGTCAAAGTTGCGGCTAATTTAAGTTCAAATTGGAAGAAGGGACTTAAGATGTTCGTAGGAAGCTAAAAATGGCTCTCTTTATTCAATCATTTTCTAATGCTATTGCAAGAAATCAAATGGAGAAATTAGAGGGGAGTTCAGTGCGCAGGAAGATGTTATTTCTGTGGGCAGGAAGATGTTATTTTGAAGAAAGAGAAAAGAAGAGATTAAATAGTACTGCAGAGCTCTGAGACAAGGGTTTTATCTTACCAAAAGTTGAAGGTGTCTCCAAAGATCTTGGAAAAGGGTTTTGGTCTTTAGAAGAGTTTTGAGACAAGAAGTTAATTTGTTGTCCTTTTTCCTATGTCATATTGCTCTTTTCTTGGTTGTGAGGAGTTTTTATCTTTTGGTGGTACCTCGTTACCATTATGGATCATTGGATGTGCTCGTTTTCTTTCATTAATAAAATTTTGCTTTTTTTATTTATTACCAAATAAATGTTGGGAAAGGGTGTGAAGATGATGAAAATCTTGATACTGACCAAGAGCATGTTGAAGAGGTGGCCATTGACCAAGTGAGGGAGGTGGGGGAGGAGGTTGATTTAAAAGAAAGTTGTTGAAACAGAGGTTCAAGTGAGCAAATTATTAGGGCTGCAATTTGTGGGAGGGGAGGAATTTGCAAGGAAAACATTCTTGGAATTGGAAAAAAAATGTCTGTCTTCTTTGTAATTGTTTTAAGTTTTGGGCATTGCTAGAGTCCTTGTGGGGTAGGTCGTGTGGATTTGAGGTGAGAAGAGAGGGGGAGGCTTAATTTTTTGTTTAACTCTTGGTGGGGGCTCAAAATTATCTTTTCAAGAGCTGTTTGGGGTGTTGAGCTTTTCTTTTTCTCTTTGGGTGATAACTTATCACCTTTGTCTGTATTTCCTTGTCCTTGCTTTAATTGAATTTTCTTCTTTATTTATTTGCAAAAAAAAAAGTCTGTAAAATGTATTGACCCAACTCTTCTTTGGAATTGCTCAAAGAGATCTTTACCCCTATTTTATCTGGATATTTCCAAATAGGTGTCATTTCCATATCATAATTGTTTGGTGTCCATGTTGTCTCCTTGCTAAAGAAACATCACCCGAGAGAAGAACATCAAGCCACTCAAAAACACAATCAACTTATGCAAACTCCTACAACAAGAACCCCAAACCAGGTAGACACAACTCAAGCCAATGATTGCATCAAAGAACCAAATAATAACAGAACAAACATTGCTAAGGAAACAAGCATCCCCAGAAAACCCCACTAACCTAACAAATAATACAACTCACCTCCCCTTTTTAAAACCAAAACAAAGAAAAAACCCACAAACTCCTCCCATACATCAAGATAGGTCCTTCCCATCAAAGTCCTCTTCCTATCCTTCTCCCTCAACCCATGTCTCCCCCCTTCCCCTAGAATGGTCTCCTTACACCTTTACTCCTTTTGTGTTTTCTTAAATTCTTCAAAAGCTCTTCTAGCAAAAGCCTCTCCAGCTTCTGCCCCACAAAAATAAGCTCAAAGCCTTGCCAACCTCCACATCCCTATCCATAATTTTCTTTATGTCCAGGCTTCCTCTCTTTCCTCCCTCCAACTCTATAGTTAGATCATTAGCTTTCCTTAGAAGTTCACAGTCACCATCTTTTTCTTTTTTTTTTTTCTTTTTCCTCTGGGACTCCCTTCCTCCCAACCTCCCCTTCAGAAAAAAGTGTTGCAATATCATTTTGTCTATCAATTCTTACCCCTCCAAGGACCTTCCAATTCATGGCACTTATATTCTCCCTTCTTTTAAACACTCTCTTATATTTACTACTAGGGCCAGCCCCAACAAGCTCCCCTTTCAAACACAAGAAAACCTTAGTGATATGCAGAAATTGTGATTTGTTTAATCCTCTGAATTTCTTCATAGCCACTGAGCCATCCCCAGAGACAATGGAATCAAGCAACTTCCTCCTACACAAATCAACTCCAATCTTTCAAACTATCACTTCTACTAAAATGTTTTTGGAACTCCTCTGCAATAACACACTATCCCTCTCCACATCATCACAACCAGACTCTTGATTACAAACCAAGGCGAGGCCTCCCTTTCTTGCAACAATGCTCCTTCTTGTATCTAGACCATGAAGGGTTAGAAGGTAAAGGTATAGACCAAGTTTAAAGTGTTTTTTCTCCTTCTTTATTCAGATTTCAGAATCTCTTTTCTAGTATTGGTTGTCCTCCAAGTTCCCCCATTCAATTGCTTGGTTCTATCTCACTAGGATGGTGATTAGTACCAGGCCCACCTCCCCACACACACACACAAATTGAGATACCATGAAGTTCAAATTTAATTGATGCTCCCTCTATAAGCATGAGCACTCAAGAATTAGGGGGCCTCAAATGGCAATAGAGAAGAGATCCTTTCGTACTCAATGTAATGGGTGGCAAGCCAGCTGGAGTGATCTTTTCCCCTTCTTCAAGACCTCGAACTTTCTTTTCCAATGTTATTTGAGTAAATCCTTATCGAGAATGATTCCCATATTGTGATTAGATGGATGTTTTACCCCACTATGAATCCTTAGATTCAACCCCTCATTCTTCTAGAATCCAAGTGCTACCATTGGTTGTTGATGGGCTTGTTAGGAAAGGTATGAGGAGATTTCGTTTATGTCGGGCCCCATATTTATTTGTATAAGGGTCGTCTTTATATGTTTTGGATATTTCCATTTCCTATGTTTCAAATCTTTATGTAAGATTCTCAGTTTTGTACCCCTTTTAGTTAAATAGCTTATGGAACATGAGCAAAGTTACCATTTGGTGAAAAATAAATAAATTTTGTGTCAACCAAATTTATATGGACCAAACATAGAAATTTTTTTACAAAGAAAGAAATTATCCAAAAACTGAAAAGAGAGGAACATACCATGCTAGTGGAAATATCACCTTTGGACACCAAGGACGCAATTATAAGCTCCAAAGCTGCAAGATCTCCAATATTGGAATCGATGGCAAGACTTAACAGATTTTTAGCAGTTTCCATGGGACTTTTTCGTATATATATTGTAATGAATGCATTCTCTACAGCTTCATAAATGGATTTGTCTTGAGAAAATACCTGAAGAAAGAATACATACAAAGGGTGCATGTCAACAAACCAATTTATGTCAAAAACAACCTGAGAAACAGTTTTACATGGACATGGACATGGACATGGACACGGGAGTCAAAACTATGACATGTGTCCTGCAGTCTCACTTGACAAGATGGAAAAATATGGACTTAGAGAAGTCCAGAATCAGAATTTATTATTTAAAAATTTCTGTATTTTGTGAGTTTCCATTGTCATATATTTGAAGACTTCTCAAAAAAACCAGAAGTATATCTTTCAATACCTAGAAACATTCAATAAGAAAAGTCGGTGTTCATTATGTATATTAGATGTTCCTTTATGTCTAATAACAAGAAAGAAGAATAGGTGTACCCTCAAGAATCTACTTGTCAGAATCTGACATTTGACATGGATACTTCATCCATTCAGGAGAGCCCATTTAACATTGTTAACAAATTAGAAATATGCTCAAAAAAATTTAGTAATATAGCATGGAACAACCAAACTCAGGTGCATTACCAGAGGTAACATCTTACGAAGACAGGCTTCTGAGCCATCGATTTGGAATTGTCTGCACCTCATTAACAAGAGAATCGCGTTTTCAACATCTGTTGCAGAAGATGATGCCATAAGTTGAACAAGAGTTGGCATGGTAGCTGATATACATTTTGAGAACCTCAGACCTGACTCAAGCGATGCAACCAAGGCCCTGGTTTGCTCCAGATTCCCAACATCTGGTATTGAACTATCCGCTTGCACCATATCATCTTTAACAGGAGGCAAGCTATCTGTGATACTATCTTGCTGTTTGGGAACCTCTGCCTCAGTGGTTTCATGCTCAATCTCACCATTTGCTTCACAGGTACCACCATCAGATGGTATATCATCCATCGTAGTCTCTGCAGTGGCAGCTGGCTCAAGTTCTCGTAACTTCTCTTTGTACTTTTCTAAAGTTGCTTCAAAAGAGGTAATACGGAGTTGGGGTCCAAATGGATTGTGCTGCAACATCATGATCAGTAAATTAAGTGCTGATTTCCTTACAATTGCACTCTTATCCTCCAATCGTCCAGCAGCAATCATTGCAACCTCATTCCACAAACCAATTGAAACAGCATGCTCTTCACATAGCTCAGCCCACACCTGAAGTACACGACTCCTGGTATAGGCCGAAACATCTCGGCATCGTTCAAGCAGGATATCTAACATGGCTTGTTTGGTACGCAGGCGGAGGGACTTGGAGCTCATATCTCCTTCAATATCTTTAAATGCTTTTGAGACCAATTTCCCAAATACCCCAACCAGAGAATTCCTTATCTTGTAAGATTCCCCACCAAAATGTGGAACCAAGATTCCTATATTCATTGACATCAACTTTGGAAGCCGGTCAGCAAGCTCCACGAGGAACCGCCCAATGTTCTCAGCCCCAACAGTATCCCTGACATAGTCTTTTGGGTTTGTCCGTCCAACCTCTCTGATGAGGGAGATTGCCAAGCTACCATCTGCATACTTTTTCTCCGCCCCCGCAACAGTATCAGCCATGTGGCTTACAACGAAATCATATTTGTGGATCAAGTGAAGGATTGAAGCACATGACTGTGCTGTATAATGATATTTGGTTGCACAGGTACCAATTATACGACTTAGCGCCTCTTTCGTGTCCAAGTCCTTCAGCAAGGCTGCATTCTCAGACAGGGAGAATGCATTTCTAGAAAACCCCATAATAGTAATATTAAATCAAGATGAAGACAGAGGAAAAAATCCAAAGCAGTTGGATATAAGATAAACCATTTAACTTACTTCACGATGAAAGACAAGTAATTCTCATCTGGGTCGGTCGATCCAAAAAGCAAGGAGAGGTTGATCTCTAGTGAATTAGCAACTAAATTAAGAACCCGACCTCTCTGTGATTCCCAATTCCACGAGTTCGTAGAATGTTTCTTCCGATTATTGATAGCCTAAACCCATAAATCAAAACTAAGAAAAACAGTGCCGGAAAATCAAAATCATATAATGAAAAAAAAAAACGCAAGAATCTACCTTTGAATTATTGCTCGCATTTTGATTGGACTCCTCGATTTGGACGATACTGAGTAGGAAGAACGAGTAGATTTTAAAAGCGTTACGATGTGAGGCAATGCGATCAAGGATGGGTGCCTCATCTTGGGGGGCTCGTGAGAGGGAATCAACATTGGGGAGCAGAACACTGAGATTAGACCGAAGGCTCTCGACAAGATTGAACTTACATGCTGGGGTGAGAAGAGAGAATTCTCTTACGACGGAATACACCCGATCGAACACCTCTTGCTCTTCCACGCAGAACAGCTCCTTGTCGGATAGATCGAATGAGACCCCTTTGTCAAACAAATTAGAGAAAAAAAAGACAAAAATAATTTAGAATTGGAATGGTAAAAGTTGAAACAAAATGGGTTATTAGGGTTTTCTATGGAGAATGAGGAGGAATAACTGACCTTTAACGAACTCTTCGAGTTCGGAAGGACGGAAGGAGCCAATGTCGACGGGGGCTTGAACCGAAAGGCGGTCCTCATCGTGCTCTGTTTCGAGGTCACGGAGATTTGGCGGGAAAATGAAGGAAGGAGCCATGAAGAGAGAGGAAAGGGTAGAGGTAGAGGAGTGTGCAAGGGAGCGGCACCTTCAGCTCTTTCTTTTCATTCAAATAAGGATGAAACCCAGATGAGCGGGAAGGAAGCCTTTTGGTATTTGTGACGTGATGGGATCTGCTCCTCATAGATGGGCGCCTCACAGGAAACATCCACCGTGCACTAGGAGCATCTCCCGTGAATTATAATTGATAAGTACGGGAGATATTTTCAATGCATGATAGGATGTGCGTGTGAGGCGCCATGTGTGAGGAGCAGATCCGGTTTCATTTGTGACACGCGTTGGTTTGAGAACTGGTAAGGTTTAACTTGCGCCGGTGGAGCACTATTACATGTCTGCTTATGCACGGATGCACCTGTGATTGGTTTGGTTGGTCGGTCCATGTTTTGGAAAATCGAGCGGACGGCGAACGTTGAATTGATCACTGAGCCGAACCGGTCCAATCGCACATAGGTGCCAGACTGCCAAGACTAAGGGAGACCGGTTTTGTTCCTCACACGCACATCCTACCATGCATTGGGAACACCTTCCGTACTTGTAAGTTATTTTTCACGGGAGATGTTCCCAATGCATGGTGGATGTACATGTAAGGCGCCCAAGTGTGAGGAGCTAGACCAAGGAGTGATCATGCCCAGGCTAATCCGGATCTCCTGCCAATAAAAATCCCTTTCGTTTATCAAAGAAAAAATCCCTTCCAACATGTTCCAATTGAGAGAGATCAAATCTGTGCCCCACATGCACATCTCACCGTGCATTGGGAATATCTCCCCTGACAACATCGGGAGATGTTCCCAATGAATGGTGAGATGTGAATGTGGGAGTTTTGGGAAGCAGATGTAAATTCATTCCAATTTGAGGGTATCATTAGACCTGTTCATGGGTCAGGCCATACCAGGCTTTGTCTTCATATATTAATAGAATACAATCAGGCTCGAGCCCAGCCCTCATATAAAGCTTGAAGCCCAACGAGAAAACTGGAAAAAAAATATATACTTTTTTTTATTTTTTACTATATAAAAAAATATTTTATTCATATTAAAATACCTCAAAACCCAAAAATAATAAAAGATTTTACTATGGCTTGAAAATCTAAAAGAGGAACAAAGAAAACAACACATTATATGTATATTTTTATTATACAAAATACATTTTTTTGCTATAAAATATAATATCAAGTTGGGCTTGGGCTCAGGCCGGGCTTTTTCAAAAAAAGCCCAAGCCCAACTCCAATAAAAGTTAGGCCTGGTATTTTAGGCCCAAGCTCAGGCCCACGGCCCTAAATTCATGTCCAAGCCCAACTTATAACAGGTCGGGCTGAGCTGGCCCGTTAGGTTACCCGGTCCATGAACAGGTCTAGTGATCATTTTCAACCCCGACCCATGAATTATGGACTTGGTCATAGGTTTTTCTCTTCAGGCCCAGCCTGTATAATCCCTTCCAACACATTCCAAATAGAGATGATCATTTTCAATCTAGCCCAGAAAATTCCAATTTGGTCATAGGCTTTTTTGTTCAGCCCAAACCAGCTCATATATATTTAATTACTAGCAGGGACCCATGCGATGCATAGAAAAATTTGAAAAAGATTGAATAATTTTATTTATTATTAATTAATTGATAAATTAATAATCAAAATTTGTTGTTAATTAACTAAAAGCATTCAACGTTATTGTTAATATTTAAAATTTTAATAATTGTATTTTCATTTAATGTTGATATGTAGGAAATAATTATTGTTAATTTAATATGAACAAATATTTTTTATAAATTTAATTTTATTAATCATTTGTACTAATTTTAATAATTGTTAATATTTTCATTATTTTAAATGAATTTTTGATTGAACTTAAATAAATAGAAATAATTACAAAAGCTAACATTTTTATTAATTTCACTAATAATTAATAATTATATAGGAATGGGAACAAGGCAGGGCACCCCATCTTTGTCCCCACCCCATAGTCAAGACACTCTACCCCATCCCCACCTCGTCCTCATTGTCGGGCAAGTTCAAGGCAAGACACACTCCTCACCAATGGTGGGGAATCCTCAAATTTTCTCCGCTTCGTCCCCAGTGTCGAACAGGTTCAAGGTAAGGCACCCACTCCCCGTCAACCCAATATTCAATTTGACAACAAAAATGATCAAAACGATATACTAAGTATCAACCACATGGTATTGAAAGTATACTAAATTTTCTTTAATTTTCAAAAATGTTATTTTATGAAAATTTTGGAAAATTTATTCAAATTTATTTTTAAATTGTTATTAAATAATTTATTTTCTTTTTAAATGGTTTACTTATAGAACTACACTAATATATCTTATATTTTTCTAATATAAACCAATCAATAATTTCCTTTTTCCAGTATTGTACTAGGTACAAATTATAGTTTTCCCTTTCCCATACTCATTTAGCTTTAATAATTTACAATGAAAATTACATAATATTTAGTTTTCCAAAACCTATCAAATATAATAAATTTTCCAAAGTATTCCAATAATTTTCAATAATTATTTTATACATTTTAAATAAACTTTAAAAAATTTATATCTTTTATAAATTAATTAACATTTTAATTTTCCAACATTATAATATTTTATTCCCCATCTACATTTGATTATTAACTATAATAATAGCAACAACTAAAATTTTATACTTTTTGATAATTGTTAAACATAATTCTTAATTTTATATAAATTAGTTAAAGAGTTTTCATTTTTTTATAAAATGTTGTTAATTAACATTAATATAACAATATATACCCAAAATACTTTAAAAAAGTCATGATGAATTAATTAATAATAATATTTATTAATTTTTGGTAATTTACTAATTGTATTTATTAACTATTGGTAATAACACTATTTAATACTCGTTGAATTTGAGTTTGATTAAATATTAACTGTATTTAACTATTTATTAATTAACTAGTGGGGACATGTGCGATGCACAGACTTTGTTAAGAAAAGGCTAAACAATATAAATACATAAGAGTATACAATTGTTTTATATTTTAATTTTTTAAATAATTAATAATTATTTATATTTTGTATAATACTTTTAATTTTTTTGCAATACAAAAAATAATAATAATTAATTTCAGCTAGGATGATTTATCAAATTGATGAAACCAATGAAATCGACCAACCCGACCTAACTTCACTTGAATTATGTTGATTTTTACTAATGATCAGTTGGTTTCAGGTAGACTTGTACATGGGTAGGCCCAAGCCAGGCTTTTCCTCTTTATAAACAGAAAATGGCCAAGCCTGAGCCCAAGCCTGGCCCAACCATAGAGCTTAGATCTTGAGCCCGAAGTCCAATCTAGATAAATATTTTATGTTATATTAATTATACATTATTAATAATTATAGTTTATAATATTCTATCTATATACCTTTTCCACTACTAATTTTATTATTATATAATATATTATGTATTATTAATGTATATTATATATTTTTTACTATATATAATATTATTGGGTCGAGCTTGGGATGAACTTTTTTGGGAAAGCTCAAGCCTGGCACAAAAATAGTCAAGCCCAATGTTCAAAGCCCGAGCCTGAGGCTATGGGCTTAAAACATTACCCAAGCCCGGTTTTGAATGGGCCAAGCTAGGCCAATCCGCGGGACTACCCAACCCATGAACATCTAGTTTCAGGTGACCAACTATATCCCCAGTCCAACCAAGTTGGTTTAGTTCGCCAAACAACCTTCAACCAAACTGAAATGACCCACAAACACTCCTAATTTTAACTAAATTAATAGTCTAGTCTCTAATAAATAGCAATAGTTTAATTTCCAATAATTATCGAGAATTTATAGCAAAAATACACAATTATTGAAAATAAATTGATAACGAAAATACAACAAATAACTAATAAATATACAATGAATATAATAATTACTATACATATATTAAATTACTCAATAAATAGTGTAATATCCAATAATAGTTTAATCTTTAACAAATATTAATCAATATTATAACAAAAATACAATTAATCAAATAAGTACAAAAAATAAATTTAAAAGTTAAATAGTATTTTTTAACTCCAATGATTATTGAAAATTTTCTGTTAAATAACAAAACAAAAATAGATTTAGACATAATTGTCAAAAATATATTTATCATAAATACAATAAATAATTACTGAAAATACACTCAATATTAATTTTATCATATACAAATATATAAAAAATATAGAAAAATATTTTAAAATTATTATTAATGAATATTAATTTTTTAAAGTTATTACATAATTTCCTTGTTTAAACTATCTTTTAATTAATATTCAAAATATGATTTAGTTATTAAATTTTTATATTGAGCATATTTAAAAATTAGTTATTTACAATATTGTTTAGTTATTCAAATAATGTCATTATTTATATTTTAAAATATTAATTATTTATTGAATTTAATAATTTTTACTATTATTATATAATTTCATTATTTTAAGTATTTAAAATTTAGTTATGTCAAGTATTTCGCTATTTAAATATTTAAAAATTTTAAATAATATTTTTTCACGTTTAACTAATTTTTTCATTTACATTTTGAAAATATTATTTATCTATTAAATTGAATAATCCATAAAAATATTATTCTTGTGTTTATAATAAATATTAAAATATTTTAGTTACATAAATCTTTTAATAATATGTAAAAGATTTAATTTTTTTATTTAATTTTCATTTATTTTATGTTATATAATTATTTATCTATTTTTAATATTTTTTATTTAAAATATTTAGTTGTTGATATATTTAAATAATATTTTTTATTTTTTATTATGTGAATAACATTTAAAATGTTCTGTCATTTAAATTTTAAAATATTATTTATTTATTAAATTGAATAACCATAAACATACTATTTTTGTATTGATAATAAATATTTTAAAGTTTTTACATAATTTCATTATAATATTTAAATAATTCTTAAATTTTTTATTTCAAAGTTCTTTTAGACGTATATAAATCAAAAGTGGGAGAAGATATATAAGAATTAAAGATAATTTAAGAGAGAGACTCTCTACCTAATTAGAGATTATTTTAGAGATAAAAATTATAA